GTGTGCGGTGGATGGAGGGGACAGTGTGTGTGGTGGATGGAGGGGAGGTGTGTGGTGGATGGAGGGGAGGTGTGTGGTGGATGGAGGGGAGGTGTGTGGTGGATGGAGGGGAGGTGTGGATGGAGGGGAGGTGTGTGGTGGGTGGAGGGGAGGTGTGTGGTGGATGGAGGGGAGGTGTGTGGTGGATGGAGGGGAGGTGTGTGGTGGATGGAGGGGAGGTGTGTGGTGGATGGAGGGGAGGTGTGCGGTGGATGGAGGGGAGGTGTGCGGTGGATGGAGGGGAGGTGTGTGGTGGATGGAGGGGAGGTGTGTGGTGGATGGAGGGGAGGTGTGGATGGAGGGGAGGTGTGTGGTGGGTGGAGGGGAGGTGTGTGGTGGATGGAGGGGAGGTGTGTGGTGGATGGAGGGGAGGTGTGGATGGAGGGGAGGTGTGTGGTGGATGGAGGGGAGGTGTGGATGGAGGGGAGGTGTGTGGTGGGTGGAGGGGAGGTGTGTGGTGGATGGAGGGGAGGTGTGTGGTGGATGGAGGGGAGGTGTGGATGGAGGGGAGGTGTGTGGTGGGTGGAGGGGAGGTGTGGATGGAGGGGACAGTGTGTGTGGTGGATGGAGGGGAGGTGTGCGGTGGATGGAGGGGACAGTGTGTGTGGTGGATGGAGGGGAGGTGTGTGGTGGATGGAGGGGAGGTGTGTGGTGGATGGAGGGGAGGTGTGTGGTGGATGGAGGGGAGGTGTGGATGGAGGGGAGGTGTGTGGTGGGTGGAGGGGAGGTGTGTGGTGGATGGAGGGGAGGTGTGTGGTGGATGGAGGGGAGGTGTGTGGTGGATGGAGGGGAGGTGTGTGGTGGATGGAGGGGAGGTGTGCGGTGGATGGAGGGGAGGTGTGCGGTGGATGGAGGGGAGGTGTGTGGTGGATGGAGGGGAGGTGTGTGGTGGATGGAGGGGAGGTGTGGATGGAGGGGAGGTGTGTGGTGGGTGGAGGGGAGGTGTGTGGTGGATGGAGGGGAGGTGTGTGGTGGATGGAGGGGAGGTGTGGATGGAGGGGAGGTGTGTGGTGGATGGAGGGGAGGTGTGGACGGAGGGGAGGTGTGTGGTGGATGGAGGGGAGGTGTGTGGTGGATGGAGGGGACAGTGTGTGTGGTGGATGGAGGGGAGGTGTGTGGTGGATGGAGGGGACAGTGTGTGTGGTGGGTGGAGGGGAGGTGTGTGGTGGATGGAGGGGAGGTGTGTGGTGGATGGAGGGGAGGTGTGTGGTGGATGGAGGGGAGGTGTGTGGTGGATGGAGGGGAGGTGTGTGTGGTGGATGGAGGGGAGGTGTGTGGTGGATGGAGGGGAGGTGTGGATGGAGGGGAGGTGTGTGGTGGGTGGAGGGGAGGTGTGTGGTGGATGGAGGGGAGGTGTGTGGTGGATGGAGGGGAGGTGTGTGGTGGATGGAGGGGAGGTGTGGATGGAGGGGAGGTGTGTGGTGGGTGGAGGGGAGGTGTGTGGTGGATGGAGGGGAGGTGTGTGTGGTGGATGGAGGGGAGGTGTGTGGTGGGTGGAGGGGAGGTGTGTGGTGGGTGGAGGGGAGGTGTGCGGTGGATGGAGGGGAGGTGTGTGGTGGATGGAGGGGAGGTGTGCGGTGGGTGGAGGGGAGGTGTGCGGTGGGTGGAGGGGAGGTGTGTGGTGGGTGGAGGGGAGGTGTGTGGTGGGTGGAGGGGAGGTGTGTGGTGGATGGAGGGGAGGTGTGTGTGGTGGATGGAGGGGAGGTGTGTGGTGGATGGAGGGGAGGTGTGTGTGGTGGATGGAGGGGAGGTGTGTGGTGGGCTTAGGGGAGGTGTGTGTGGTGGATGGAGGGGAGGTGTGTGGTGGACGGAGGGGAGGTGTGTGGTGGATGGAGGGGAGGTGTGTGGTGGATGGAGGGGAGGTGTGGATGGAGGGGAGGTGTGTGGTGGATGGAGGGGAGGTGTGTGGTGGATGGAGGGGAGGTGTGTGGTGGACGGAGGGGAGGTGTGTGGTGGATGGAGGGGAGGTGTGTGGTGGACGGAGGGGAGGTGTGTGGTGGATGGAGGGGAGGTGTGTGGTGGACGGAGGGGAGGTGTGGATGGAGGGGAGGTGTGTGTGGTGGATGGAGGTGTGTGTGGTGGATGGAGGGGAGGTGTGTGGTGGATGGAGGGGAGGTGTGTGTGGTGGATGGAGGGGAGGTGTGTGGTGGACGGAGGGGAGGTGTGGATGGAGGGGAGGTGTGTGGTGGGCGTAGGGGAGGTGTGTGTGGTGGATGGAGGGGAGGTGTGTGGTGGACGGAGGGGAGGTGTGTGGTGGATGGAGGGGAGGTGTGTGTGGTGGATGGAGGGGAGGTGTGTGGTGGGTGGAGGGGAGGTGTGTGGTGGGCGTAGGGGAGGTGTGTGGTGGACGGAGGGGAGGTGTGTGGTGGGTGGAGGGGAGGTGTGTGGTGGATGGAGGGGAGGTGTGTGGTGGATGGAGGGGAGGTGTGTGTGGTGGATGGAGGGGAGGTGTGCGGTGGATGGAGGGGAGGTGTGGATGGAGGGGAGGTGTGTGGTGGATGGAGGGGAGGTGTGTGGTGGGCGTAGGGGAGGTGTGTGTGGTGGGTGGAGGGGAGGTGTGTGGTGGATGGAGGGGACAGTGTGTGTGGTGGATGGAGGGGAGGTGTGTGGTGGATGGAGGGGAGGTGTGTGGTGGACGGAGGGGAGGTGTGGATGGAGGGGAGGTGTGTGTGGTGGATGGAGGTGTGTGTGGTGGATGGAGGGGAGGTGTGTGGTGGATGGAGGGGAGGTGTGTGGTGGATGGAGGGGAGGTGTGTGTGGTGGATGGAGGGGAGGTGTGTGGTGGACGGAGGGGAGGTGTGTGTGGTGGATGGAGGTGTGTGTGGTGGATGGAGGGGAGGTGTGGACGGAGGGGAGGTGTGTGGTGGATGGAGGGGAGGTGTGTGTGGTGGATGGAGGGGAGGTGTGTGGTGGATGGAGGGGAGGTGTGTGGTGGATGGAGGGGAGGTGTGTGTGGTGGATGGAGGGGAGGTGTGTGGTGGACGGAGGGGAGGTGTGGATGGAGGGGAGGTGTGTGGTGGGCGTAGGGGAGGTGTGTGTGGTGGATGGAGGGGAGGTGTGTGGTGGACGGAGGGGAGGTGTGTGGTGGATGGAGGGGAGGTGTGTGTGGTGGATGGAGGGGAGGTGTGTGGTGGGCGTAGGGGAGGTGTGTGGTGGACGGAGGGGAGGTGTGTGGTGGGTGGAGGGGAGGTGTGTGGTGGATGGAGGGGAGGTGTGTGGTGGATGGAGGGGAGGTGTGTGTGGTGGATGGAGGGGAGGTGTGCGGTGGATGGAGGGGAGGTGTGGATGGAGGGGAGGTGTGTGGTGGATGGAGGGGAGGTGTGTGGTGGGCGTAGGGGAGGTGTGTGTGGTGGATGGAGGGGAGGTGTGTGGTGGATGGAGGGGACAGTGTGTGTGGTGGATGGAGGGGAGGTGTGTGGTGGATGGAGGGGAGGTGTGTGGTGGACGGAGGGGAGGTGTGGATGGAGGGGAGGTGTGTGTGGTGGATGGAGGTGTGTGTGGTGGATGGAGGGGAGGTGTGTGGTGGATGGAGGGGAGGTGTGTGGTGGATGGAGGGGAGGTGTGTGTGGTGGATGGAGGGGAGGTGTGTGGTGGACGGAGGGGAGGTGTGTGTGGTGGATGGAGGTGTGTGTGGTGGATGGAGGGGAGGTGTGGACGGAGGGGAGGTGTGTGGTGGGTGGAGGGGAGGTGTGTGGTGGACGGAGGGGAGGTGTGGATGGAGGGGAGGTGTGTGGTGGATGGAGGGGAGGTGTGTGGTGGATGGAGGGGAGGTGTGTGGTGGACGGAGGGGAGGTGTGGATGGAGGGGAGGTGTGTGGTGGGCGTAGGGGAGGTGTGTGTGGTGGATGGAGGGGAGGTGTGTGGTGGATGGAGGGGAGGTGTGGATGGAGGGGAGGTGTGTGGTGGACGGAGGGGAGGTGTGTGTGGTGGATGGAGGGGAGGTGTGTGTGGTGGATGGAGGGGAGGTGTGTGGTGGATGGAGGGGAGGTGTGTGTGGTGGATGGAGGGGAGGTGTGTGGTGGATGGAGGGGAGGTGTGTGTGGTGGATGGAGGGGAGGTGTGTGGTGGGCGTAGGGGAGGTGTGTGGTGGACGGAGGGGAGGTGTGTGGTGGGTGGAGGGGAGGTGTGTGGTGGATGGAGGTGTGTGTGGTGGGTGGAGGGGAGGTGTGTGGTGGGTGGAGGGGAGGTGTGTGGTGGGTGGAGGGGAGGTGTGTGGTGGATGGAGGGGAGGTGTGTGTGGTGGATGGAGGGGAGGTGTGTGGTGGATGGAGGGGAGGTGTGTGGTGGACGGAGGGGAGGTGTGTGGTGGGTGGAGGGGAGGTGTGTGGTGGATGGAGGTGTGTGTGGTGGGTGGAGGGGAGGTGTGTGGTGGGTGGAGGGGAGGTGTGTGGTGGGTGGAGGGGAGGTGTGTGGTGGATGGAGGGGAGGTGTGTGTGGTGGATGGAGGGGAGGTGTGTGGTGGATGGAGGGGAGGTGTGTGGTGGACGGAGGGGAGGTGTGTGGTGGGTGGAGGGGAGGTGTGTGGTGGATGGAGGTGTGTGTGGTGGGTGGAGGGGAGGTGTGTGGTGGGTGGAGGGGAGGTGTGTGGTGGATGGAGGGGAGGTGTGTGGTGGATGGAGGGGAGGTGTGTGGTGGATGGAGGGGAGGTGTGTGGTGGATGGAGGGGAGGTGTGTGGTGGATGGAGGGGAGGTGTGTGGTGGATGGAGGGGAGGTGTGCGGTGGATGGAGGGGAGGTGTGTGGTGGATGGAGGGGAGGTGTGTGGTGGGCGTAGGGGAGGTGTGTGTGGTGGGTGGAGGGGAGGTGTGTGGTGGATGGAGGGGAGGTGTGTGGTGGATGGAGGGGAGGTGTGTGGTGGATGGAGGGGAGGTGTGTGGTGGATGGAGGGGACAGTGTGTGCGGTGGATGGAGGGGAGGCGTGCGGTGGACACCGGGCCCACGCTCGCCGGCCTCTTGTCCGCAGGCGCTCACGGCGCGGGGCGCGGACTCTGCGTCCCGCAGCTCGGTGGACGCGTCGGGCTCGGCGGCGGCGGCCGGGGCCCAGCGCGAGCGGCGGGGGCCGGCGGCGGGCGCGGCTGTCATCGGGGACGGAGGAGGACGGCGGCCGGCTGCCCCGATCGGAGTCGGAGGACGGCGGAGGCCCGCGGGCGGCGGTGAGGCGGGGAGGCCAGGGGAGGCGGGGAGGCCGGGGGAGGCGGGGAGGCCGGGGGAGGCCGGGGGAGGCCGGGGGTGGTGGGGAGGCCGGGGGTGGCGGGGAGGTGGGGAGGCCGGGGGTGGCGGGGAGGCCGGGGGTGGCGGGGAGGTGGGGAGGCCGGGGGTGGCGGGGAGGCGGGGAGGCCGGGGGAGGCGGGGAGGCCGGGGGTGGCGGGGAGGTGGGGAGGCCGGGGGGTGGCGGGGAGGCCGGGGGTGGTGGGGAGGCCGGGGGTGGCGGGGAGGTGGGGAGGCCGGGGGTGGCGGGGAGGTGGGGAGGCCGGGGGTGGCGGGGAGGCCGGGGGTGGCGGGGAGGCGGGGAGGCCGGGGGAGGCGGGGAGGCCGGGGGAGGCGGGGAGGCCGGGGGTGGCGGGGAGGTGGGGAGGCCGGGGGTGGCGGGGAGGCCGGGGGTGGTGGGGAGGCCGGGGGGTGGCGGGGAGGTGGGGAGGCCGGGGGTGGCGGGGAGGCCGGGGGTGGCGGGGAGGTGGGGAGGCCGGGGGTGGCGGGGAGGCGGGGAGGCCGGGGGTGGCGGGGAGGCCGGGGGTGGTGGGGAGGCCGGGGGTGGCGGGGAGGTGGGGAGGCCGGGGGTGGCGGGGAGGCCGGGGGTGGCGGGGAGGTGGGGAGGCCGGGGGTGGCGGGGAGGCGGGGAGGCCGGGGGAGGCGGGGAGGCCGGGGGTGGCGGGGAGGTGGGGAGGCCGGGGGTGGCGGGGAGGCCGGGGGTGGTGGGGAGGCCGGGGGTGGCGGGGAGGTGGGGAGGCCGGGGGTGGCGGGGAGGCCGGGGGTGGCGGGGAGGCGGGGAGGCCGGGGGAGGCGGGGAGGCCGGGGGAGGCGGGGAGGCCGGGGGTGGCGGGGAGGTGGGGAGGCCGGGGGTGGCGGGGAGGCCGGGGGTGGTGGGGAGGCCGGGGGTGGCGGGGAGGTGGGGAGGCCGGGGGTGGCGGGGAGGCCGGGGGTGGCGGGGAGGTGGGGAGGCCGGGGGTGGCGGGGAGGCGGGGAGGCCGGGGGGTGGCGGGGAGGCCGGGGGTGGTGGGGAGGCCGGGGGTGGCGGGGAGGCCGGGGGTGGCGGGGAGGTGGGGAGGCCGGGGGTGGCGGGGAGGCGGGGAGGCCGGGGGAGGCGGGGAGGCCGGGGGAGGCGGGGAGGCCGGGGGTGGCGGGGAGGTGGGGAGGCCGGGGGTGGCGGGGAGGTGGGGAGGCCGGGGGGTGGCGGGGAGGCCGGGGGGTGGCGGGGAGGTGGGGAGGCCGGGGGTGGCGGGGAGGCGGGGAGGCCGGGGGAGGCGGGGAGGCCGGGGGAGGCGGGGAGGCCGGGGGTGGCGGGGAGGTGGGGAGGCCGGGGGTGGCGGGGAGGCGGGGAGGCCGGGGGAGGCGGGGAGGCCGGGGGGTGGCGGGTAGGCCGGGGGTGGCGGGGAGGCCGGGGGTGGCGGGGAGGCCGGGGGAGGCGGGGAGGCCGGGGGTGTCGGGGAGGCCGGGGGAGGCCTGCGGGAGGCGGGGAGGCCAGGGGAGGCCGGGAGGCCGGGGGAGGCCAGGCCGGGGGAGGCCTGCAGGAGGCGGGGAGGCCGGGGGAGGCCGGGGGAGGCGGGGAGGCCTGCAGGAGGCGGGGAGGCCGGGGGAGGCCGGGGGAGGCGGGGAGGCCTGCAGGAGGCGGGGAGGCCGGGGGAGGCCGGGGGAGGCGGGGAGGCCTGCAGGAGGCGGGGAGGCCGGGGGAGGCGAGGCCGGGGGAGGCGGGGAGGCCGGGGGAGGCCTGCAGGAGGCGGGGAGGCCGGGGGAGGCGAGGCCGGGGGAGGCCTGCAGGAGGCGGGGAGGCCGGGGGAGGCCGGGGGAGGCCAGGCCGGGGGAGGCCTGCAGGAGGCGGGGGAGGCGGGGAGGCCTGCAGGAGGCGGGGAGGCCGGGGGAGGCGAGGCCGGGGGAGGCGGGGAGGCCGGGGGAGGCCGGGGGAGGCGGGGAGGCCGGGGGAGGCGAGGCCGGGGGAGGCGGGGAGGCCGGGGGAGGCCGGGGGAGGCGGGGAGGCCGGGGGAGGCCGGGGGAGGCGGGGAGGCCGGGGGAGGCGAGGCCGGGGGAGGCGGGGAGGCCGGGGGAGGCGAGGCCGGGGGAGGCGGGGAGGCCGGGGGAGGCGGGGAGGCCGGGGGAGGCCGGGGGAGGCGAGGCCGGGGGAGGCGGGGAGGCCGGGGGAGGCCGGGGGAGGCGGGGAGGCCGGGGGAGGCGGGGAGGCCCTCGGGCGGCGGGGAGGCCGGGGGAGGCGGGGAGGCCAGGGGAGGCCGGGGGAGGCGAGGCCGGGGGAGGCGGGGAGGCCGGGGGAGGCGCGGCCGGGGGAGGCGGGGAGGCCCGCGGGCGGCGGGCCCGTCCTCGTCCTCCCCGCCCGGCCTCACCGCCGCGCCCCCGCCGTGCCCGCAGCTCCCCCCGGGTCCCGGCCGCGGCCCCCGCCCGGCCCCGCTCCAGCCGGGGCAGCATCTTCACCTTCCGGCGGCGGGAGCCGGGCTCCGAGACGGACTTCGCGGACGACGAGCACAGCACGGCCGGGGACAGCGACAGCCACCGCGCCTGGCCGCCGCCGCCGCCGCCCGGGGCCCCGCGCCGGCCGCCCGGCGCCAAGCGCCTCAGCGCGGTGGACTGCAACGGCGTGGTGTCCCTGCTGGGGCCCGGCGAGGCCGCGCCCGCCGGCGGCCCCCTCCTCCCGCGGCCCCCGGACACGGTAAGCCCGGCCCGCCCCGCCCGCCCGCCTCCACACCGGGGGAAACTGAGCCACCAGGCCGGGCGAGGGCGAGGGAGACGCAGGACCGGCGCACACGGCGGCCCGGCGGCCGGGCGCGGGCCGGGGCCGGCCGGGGCCTATATAGGGGCAGGGCAGGGGCGGGGCCACAGGGGACTTCCGGACCCAGACACTGACTGGCAGGTTTGCTAACCTATCAGCCAAGTCCCTTCCCCTTCCTCTAGGAACTCAGCCACGCCCATCGCGGGGGGGGGGGAGAGGGGGGTGGGACTTCCCTGCCTCTAGGAACTCAGGCACGCCCAACAGCTGGAGGCGGGACTTCCCCTCCTCCAGGGATTCAGCCACGCCCATCACCTGGGGGCGGGACTTCCGATTCAGCCACGCCCATCACCTGGGGGTGGGACTTCCCTTCTTCTGGGAATTTAGGCATGTCCATCCCTGGGGGGTGGGACACCTCTGCCTCTAAGGATTCAGCCACGCCCATCACCTGGGGGTGGGACTTCCCTTCCTCTAGGAACTCAGGCACGCCCATCACCTGGGGGCGGGACTTCCCTTCCTCCAGGGATTCAGCCACGCCCATCACCTGGGGGTGGGACTTCCCCTCCTCCCGGGACTCAGCCACGCCCATCACCTGGGGGTGGGACTTCCCTTCCTCCAGGGATTCAGCCACGCCCATCACCTGGGGGCGGGGCTTCCCTTCCTCTAGGAACTCAGGCACACCCATCACCTGGGGGCGGGACTTCCCTTCCTCCAGGGATTCAGCCACGCCCATCACCTGGGGGTGGGACTTCCCCTCCTCCAGGGACTCAGCCACGCCCATCACCTGGGGGTGGGACTTGCCCATCCCCTACCCTGAAGACAAGATGCCAGACCCAGCCATCAGGTGACCAAGATGGCGCCGGGCAGAGCCGATGGCCGGACTCCATGACCACTCCAACCACAGCTTCCCCTCCAGCCTCTGTTTTTTTTTTCTCTGTCGTTGTTAGTTTATTGGAAATAGCAGCCTGTGGACTTTCCTGCTCCGGCAGGGGCTGGCTTGGAAGCACAGGCCTCAGATGGCAGCCTCCTGGGCCGCTGGGGCCTGGATAATGGGTGGTGGTGGTGGTGGTTACAGTGGCTCAAGCAAATGCGCCATGATGGCAGCATGGTAGCGGAGTGGGCCGGGGCAGTGAGACCACCCAGTGAAGATGTAAAGGACTTCATTGAGTGAACAGTGCTGATGCACCAGGACCGCACCTGGCGTTGGGGTCCCAGGAAGCGGCGAGGGCCGGCCCACGGCGGCTTGTAAGCACTTGGGGCCATGGCCGGGAAAGGGGGCGCCCGGGTGTTGGTTTTAGCCAATGATTGTTACAAGAAATGCGCACCTTAAGTTTAAATTTCCCGCGGAGGTTTTGCTGGCAGGAGGCAGGGGAATGGAATAAAGGGTGGTGGTGATGGCTCATCTGGGTTAGGGCTAGCATTGCTCAGAAAACAGCAGAAGCAGAGCTAGAGTTGCAGGGTTACAGAGTTCCAATGACAGTTACTAGCTAAAATAGCTAGTTACCAGGGAAGTCTTATCCGCAGCACACTTACATTTATATCTTAAAATCATTATCCGTCTTACACAATCCCATCAAATATCATTTTCCATCTTTACATCCTCCACCATATCAATAGGACAAAACCAGTACCCAAGGCCTACCCTCTGGGGCCCGGCAGAAGCCACCTAGATTGCCAGGCCGGGAGCAAGAAGGGCTGGAGGTCCGCACCCCATGGCCTGGGCCTCTGTTAGTCATCGGGTTTGATGACTGGTAACCAGAGAACAACCCAGTATTAAGTACCCCAGGGAAAGGGCTGAGGGAAGAAGAGGAGACCACTGTTAGCATTATGCCCACCTTTGGTCCTCACCTCCAACCATACCTGAGTTCCTCCCTTGCCTTCCTTCCAACCACTGACTAGGTCATACTTAGACAAAGTCTCTTTCTGTTCTTGTTGGTAGTCGTGGTGGTTTGGTTTGGTTTTGGTTTTGTGCCAATCCTGGGCCTTGAACTCAGAGCCTGGGCACTGTCCCTGATCTTTTTTTTTTTCCTGAAGGTTAGCACTTTACCACTTTTAAGAAAAAAAAATTGACTGGGTTTTTGGAGTCTCACAGACTTTACTGCCCAGGCTGGTTTCAAACCCAGATCCTTGGATCCCAGCCTCCTGAGTCACTAGGGTGACTGCCACGAACCCACTAGGCACCTGCTCAAAGCCTCTTTCTGAAACTGGGAGAAATGGGACAATAATGGAGGCGATCTTACTCAGCACCCAAAGCTCATCATTTTACTAGCTGGATGGCTATGGGCAAGTTACTTTAATTCTCTGTACCTTGGGTCTCTCATCTGAGAAAAGATAAGAATATCCATCCATCTCAGGATTGTTACAAGGCTGCGGGGAAAAAAAAGCACTGAAGACTGACTACATTGATGTTCTTAGAACTGTGTAGTTACTGCCCTGCCAGTCCCATTTTTCTGATGAAGGCCGTAACAGGATGGCAAGTGCAAAGGCCCTGGGGCATAAACAATGCCTAGAGTCCATTACCATGAGGCCAGGATGGCTGAGGGAGAGAAAGCAGAGGAGGAGGAGTAGAATTGGAGCTCTTCTCAGAAAGGTGATGGACAGAGGGACTGTCCAGATCATAGAGGCCAATCAGAGCCTCAATTCAGTTAGCCAATCCACTCACCTGACGGATGACTGGTTGTCCAATCAGCTGTCAAAGACCAGACTGAGGGGAGTCTGTTGGGTGGGTGCGTGGGAGGAGTGGATGAAGAAGGAGAGCTCCCAGGTTCCTGTGTTCCTCTCAGACTCGCTGCAGCTGTGCAGACTCTGTGCAGGCCCATTTCTGTGTCTCGATTCCCTCAGGTGTCAAGCGGGAAATTAAGCAAAATTTAATACTCACCCAGTGGCCAAGCTCCGAGGAGCTCAGCCTGAAGCCAGCTTGGGCAGACACATCTGAGACTCTTATCTGCAATTAGCCAGCAAAAACAAAACACAAAAACCAGAAGCAAGCCAGGGGCGGGTGGCTCACATCTGTAATCCTAGCTGCTCAGGAGGCTGAGATCTGAGGATCGTGCTTCAAAGCCAGCCCGGGCAGGAAAGTCCATGAGACTCTGATCTCCAATCAACCACCAGGAAACTGGAAGTGGCGCTGAGGCTCAAGCGGTAGTGTGCTCACCTTGAGCGGAGAAAGCTCAGGGACAACGCCCAGGCCCAAAGTTCAAGACCCACAACTGACAAAACAAAACAAAAAAAGCCAGAAGTGGAGCAGTGGGGTGAAGTTAACAGAGCCGCAGAGCCCAGCGTGAAGCAGAAGAGCCAAATGAGGGCCAAGGCCCTGAGTTTAAGCCCCAGTGCTGATCACAGATTTGCAGTTCAAAGCCAGCCCAAGCCAGAGAGTTCACCCAACTCTTACCTCCAGTTAACCAGAAAAAAAAGGAAGTAGAGGTGTGTGGCCCAAGTGGTAGACTACCAGCCTTGAACAGAAAAGCTACACATGAGCAAGGAAGCCCAGAGTTCCAGCCCTAGTGCCAGCGCGCGCGCATGCGTGCGCACACACACACACACACACACACACACACACACACACGGCACATAACTACCATTAATACTAATACATCAGCAGGTCATCGTGAGACTTAGGCCTCTGTCATTCTCATTGTCTGTGGCTAGTGTGATTGCATAAAGCCTCCTGTGTGCTCTGGGGTGCCTGAGGGGCTCCCCTTCCCTTCTCTGGAAAAGAGCGTGAATGGGAGATGCCCACAGGCAGGTAGGGCCAACTGGGTGGAGTGTCTGGCTACCAGGGACACCAACAACCCCTTACCCCCCAGGAAAGTTTATCAGTGGAGTCTTTGTCTCAGGGAGAAGCAGATCAGCACCCAGAAGGAGCTAATCGAATTTCCTAATCTCATAAGAGACATCATCGCATTGTGTTATTCATGTCAGGAGGAATCCAAGTTCAAACACTTCATTATGAGGGAAAAGGGGGTGCCCTGACTTAGTTAACCCTTTCTCGCCTCCATAGAGCCCCATGGATAACCTTAGAAAGATTAGCAAGGCCCTGGCGGGCTCATTTGCAAAGTTAAAGCAATTAGCAAACCAAGATGGCAACACGGGTGAAGTCACAGCTCCCATGTGGAAACACTGCAGTGTGAGGCTCTGATCTACAAAGGCTCACCCCCAGGTCTTTGATTCTCCCTTGTCAACCTAGCAAGAGCAGGACATGGCCAAGCGTCTAACCAGAGCCTCCCGCCTGCAGCAGCCACTGCCCCGTGAGCAGAAGTGAGATCCGCCCTCCGTCCTGCTGCTATGTATGGCAGTGTGGTGGTTGGGACCATGATGCTAAGGCGGATGAATATGTTTGATGTCTTGTGTGGATCCCACATGCGTGACTGGGACCATGTACCCGAGTGAGGTCCCTTAGAAGAAGAAACCTTTATTTCCCTGATGGCTTCTGAGACAGTCATCTGCAGAGGGAGATGGAGTAGCTTGTTTTATGGCAGCCAGGAAGAGGGAAGAGAGAAAGAAAGAGAAAGGGGGGATAAATAGGGTACGTAGGTAGATGAGACTACGTAGATAAGGTGGGTAGATAGATACTTGACAGGTTTGATAGATAGATGGATGGATAGATAGATAGATAGATAGATAGATAGATAGATAGATAGATAGATAGATAATAGGTAAGTTAGACAGATGATAGGTAAGCTAGACACGGGTCCGTGGTAGGTAGGTAGATGATGAATGAGATAGGCAGACGTACAGATTAACAATATGACAGATAACGGATAAGACAGATAGTCAAAGGTAGATAAGTAGGTAGATAGATGATAGATAAGATGGATGATTGAGTAAATGGATGGTAGGTAGAGGAGGAGTAGAATTGGAGTTCTTCCCAGAAAGGTGATGGACGGAGGGACTGTCCAGATCATAGAGGCCAATCAGAGCCTCAATTCAGTTAGCCAATCCACTCACCTGACGGATGACTGCTTGTCCAATCAGCTGGCAAGGACCAGACTGAGGGGAGTCTGTTGGGTGGGCGCGTGGGCGGAGTGGATGAAGAAGGAGAGCTCCCAGGTGATAGGTGACAGGGAAGACAGACGGACAGACAGATAGATAGAGGGTAGGTAGGCAGATGATAGATCAGACAGACAGACAGATAGATACGAAGCTAAGGAAGGTCAGTGGGCAGGTAGAGAGCTGGTAGAAGAGACGACAGATGGATGGTGGATGGGTTTCAGATGCTGCCGCTCTCGGCTTCGCCTCTTTCCCTTCCCTCCACCTTGCAAAAGCTGCAGAGCTGTCCTGCCACACGCTGGGCAGCTGAGTGACTCCCGCAGCCCCTGCCCAGGTGCTGGCCGGACAGGCCCTCTTGTCGGGGGGAGGGCGTCCTTGGTTCTGGGGGCCCCTAAGCAACCCTGCCAGCTCTCTCCCTCAGTCCCCTCCGGTGTCTTCCCTGGCCCTGCCATTTTAGTGAATGTGTGTCAATACTAGTGCTTGAACTCAGGACCTCGAATTCCCACTTCCCTTTCTCAGCTTAAGGAAGACACTCTTCCATTCGAGTCCCACCTCCATTTCTGGCTTTTTGCTGGTTTATTGGCTGTGTCTACTTGGACCGGAGATGCTCAGATCGTAGCCTCCTTGGTAGCTAGGATGACAGGTGTGAAAGCACACCAGGAGAATTTAAAATGAGTTCCACCATTCTCTGTCTACGCATCGAACTTCCTAAAATCATTACACACGTGCATCGAAACATACTGCCAATGATTTCACGCCGTAAAACAAGGCATCTGATCTGTAAGGATATTCACATTAATTACAATCACCATGCCAATCCGAATGGCTACAAGACAGGACAAAGAGAATGCGGTGTTCCTACAAGGACAATCAGCCGGGCATCGTAGCTCACTCTGGTCTTCCCAGCTACTCAGGAAGCTGACATCTGAGGATCATGGTTCAAAACCCAGCCTGGACAGGAAAAAAGTCTGGTTGAGCCAGGCGCCGATGGCTCACGCCTGTCATCCTAGAGGCTGAGATCTGAGGATCACGGTTCAAAGCCAGCCCAGGCAGGAAAGCCCATGAGATTCTTACCTCCAAAGAACCACCAGAAAACCGGAAGTGGCGCTGTGGCTCAAGTGTTAGAGTGCTCGCCTTGAGCTGAAGAGCTCAGGGATAGCGCCCAGGCCCAGAGTTCAAGCCCCATGACCGACCAGAAACAAAAAAGTCTGAGAGTTGTATCTCCAACGAGCCCCCAAAGAGCCACAAGTGGGGAGCACGATCCTGCAGTGGGATGGGGAAAACAATGAATGGACAGCGCCCAGGCTCTGAGTTCAAGTCCCAGAACCAGCACACACACACACACACACACACACACACACACACACACACACTGCGGGCGAGGCCACCTCCTTGGGCTCACATGTATGTCCTGATTATCCCCCTCAAGACCACACCATCAGAAGATCCAGGTGGAGCCCAGATGCTGACACCCCAAACTCCATGTGTAGATGGATTTGAGCCGCCAGGAGCGAGACAGCGAGCCCTCAGTACAGTCAGTGTCCTCACCAGCGCTCTGGAAGGTCAGTACCCTCCCTGCCCCTCCCCACCAACCTCCCTCTGGCCATCCTCACCTCCAGCCCAGCCCACTCAGGGACCCCCCCCCCACCCCCAATCTCTCTCAGCTTCCTTGAACCTCCCAACCATCCCAGTTTCCTCTGCCTTCTCGATGTCATCCTAATGAATATTCTTGCCTGTCTGTAAGGGATCATTTCTTCTGGCTCAACTGGCTCTTTTGTTGTTGTTGCTATTACTGCTGCTGTTGGTCCTGGGACTTGAACTCGGGGCCTGGGAGTTGTCCTCAAGATTTACTGCTCGAGGCTGGCACACTACTACTTGGAACCACAGTCCCACTTCTGGTTTTCTGGTGGTTCCTTGGAGCTAAGAGGCTCACTGACTTTCCTTGGCCCCGGTTGGCTTGGAACTGTGATCCTCCTGATCTCAGCCTCCTGAGTAAGCTAGGATGACAGGTGTTTCTCTCAAACACTTCCAATGCCCTGTCCTGCCTCAGGGCTCTGAGCTGTACTTCCCTCTTCTCCCAAACATACCCATGCCTGCCTTGGGTGTCTTCTCTTTAAAAACTTTCCTGTCCACTTACCATCTTCCTTGCCTGAAGGTCCTAGATGGGACTATTTCCAATGAGATTCCATATGGTCAGTTTCCTCCACCTCCATCTTGATCTCCCTTCTCCCATAGTTCCACAGTAAAAAGGATTGAGACATAGTCAGGCGCTGGTGGCTCTCGCCCGTCATCCTAGCCTCTCAGGAAGCTGAGATCTGAGGATCGTGGTTCAAAGCCAGCCTGGGCAGGAAAGTCCATGGGACTCTCATCTCCAGTGAACCACCAAAAAACCAAAGTGGCGCTGTGGCTCAAGCGGTAGAGCACCAGCCTTGAGCAAAAGAGTTCAGGGACAGCACCCAGGCCCTGAGTTCAAGCCCCAGTACACACACCACACACAGACACACACACACACACACACACACACACACACACACACACACGGAGTTGGGAGAGTGCCACTCATTCCTTTAGCCTTCCTTCACCATGTCTCTGTCATGTAGCTCCCCATGCAAGCCCTAAGTTCTTTCTAGAATACCCCTAGACTTACATGACCCTGTCCACAAACCCAACTAACTCCCCCCCCCCCCGGCTGTCCCCAGAGTTGGAAGAATCCCACCGCAAGTGTCCACCATGTTGGAACCGCTTCGCTGAGCGCTACCTGATCTGGGAGTGCTGCCCGCTGTGGCTGCCCATCAAGGACAAGGTGAAGTTCGTGGTCATGGACCCCTTTGCCGACCTCACCATCACCATGTGCATCGTGCTCAACACATTGTTCATGGCGCTGGAGCACTACAACATGACCACTGAATTTGAGGAGATGCTGCAGGTTGGAAATCTGGTAAGAAATCATGGTTTGAAGCTGGGCACTGGTGGCTCACACCTGTCATCCTAGCGACTCAGGAGACTGAGAGTCCGTGAGAACTCTTATCTTCAGTGAACCATCAGGAAGTCAGATGGAGAGCTGCGGCTCAAGTGGTCAAGCACCAGCCTTGAGTGGAAAAGTTCAGGGACAGTGCCCTGGCCCTAGATTCAAAACCCAGAACCAGAAAAAAAAAAAAAAAAAGACGTGAGTTGAGGGTAAGCCTGAATGTATGGAGAGGGAAGATCTTGCCAAGAGTAGATGGAGAAATAAGTGAATGAAGAAAGGAACTGTGTTTGTATGGCCAGAGTTGTGTATGACCACCAATGGGTGTATTGTTGGAAGAAGAAAGGATGGATGGATGGTTGGATGGATGAATGGATGATTAAATGGAGGCAGGAAAGGTTAGATTGTTGGATGGATAACTGAATTGAGAGGAAAGGATGGAAGAAAAGATGAGGGATGGGTAGATGGATGGATGGAGAAATGGACAGGTGAAGAGATGAAGAGATGGATGAGTGGATGAATAAATTCAAGGAGGAAAAGTCAGATTGCTGGATCGATAAGTGAATAGAAGGGATGGAAGAAAAGATGAGAGAAGGGGGATGGGCAGATGGATGGATGGATGGATGGATGGATGGATGGATGGATGGATGGGGAGTAATTAACAGGTTGATGGAGAAATGAATAGATGGATAGATGGAGAATAATGGATGGATGGATGGATGGATAAATGGAGGGAGGAAATGTTAGATCACTGGATGGATAATTGAATAGAAAGAAGGGATGGAAGAAAAAATGAGAGAGGGGTGGGTGGAAGATAGATAGATGAATGGAGATATGAATAGTTAAATGGAAGGAAGAGATGCTATATTGCTGGATGGATAATTCAGAGAAGGGATGGAAGAAAAGACGAAAGATGGGTTGGTTGTTGGGATGGATGGATGATGGATGGATAGATGGAGAAATTGATGGAGAGATTAATGGATGGATGGATGATTAAATGGAGGGAGGAAAGATTAGACTGTTGGGATGGATACTTGAAAAGAAGTAATGATGGAAAATATGAGGAGTGGATGGATAGAGAAATGGGTGGATGGATGGGTGGATGGATGGATGGATGATTAAATGGAGGGAAGAAAGCTAGATAGTTGGATGTCTACTTGAATAGAGAGAATAAGGGATGGAAGAAAAGATGTGATAGATTTGAGGATGGATAAATGAATGGATGGATGGATGGATGGAGTGATGGATGGATGGATGGAGAAATTGATGTATGAGTAGAAAGAACGATGTCTGGATGAACAATTAAATGGAGGAAGGAAAGACTAGATTGTTGGATGGAATATTTAGAAGGAAGAAGGGAGGAGGGAAAGGATGAGAGATGGGTAGATGGTTGGATGAATGGATGGATGGACGAATGGATGGAGAGTGAATAAATCATACTCATATTGAGTCCGCTGTTACTAACCTGAGATCTCAAACGAATTGCTGAGCATTGGTAATTGGCACAGTAAATATTTGTTGAATCTAATAAGTGTAAAATTAGTGTGACCATATCAACCTCATAGGAAGCTAATTAGGACTGAACAAGATAATGTGTGTCATGCATTTGGCTCAGATAAACAATCTTCACTCCAAACGAATGATAGCTGTGGTTTTAATTGTTATTAAAGAGACTGACCCTAGAAGTCACAATGTCTGCATTAAAAATTGGGCTGGGAAGGTGGCTCAGTGGTAGAGTGCTTGCCTTGCATGCATGAGGCCCTGGGTTCGATTCCTCAGCACCACATAAGCAGAAAAAAAAAAGCCAGAAGTGGTGCTGTGGCTCAAGTGGTAGAGCGCTCGCCTTGAGCTGAAGAGCTGAGGGACAGCGCCCAGGCCCAGAGTTCAGGCCCCATGACCAGACCCCCCCAAAAAAATTCTGACTTTGCCAGATGTTGGTAATGCACCCCATAATCCTAACTACTCCAGGGAGGAGGCTGAGATCTGAGAATCACGGTTGAAAATCAGCCTGGGCAGGAAAGTCCATGAGACTCTTCTCTCTAACGAACCACCAGAACTGGAGGCAACACTCAAAACCATAGAGTGCCAGCCTCGATTGAAAATGCCGAGCAAGAGAACCAGGCCCTGAGTTCAAGCCCAAGTACTGGAACCAAAAGAAAAAAAGAAAACAAGAATACATGAGAAGCACTTTAGCCCGGCACTTAACACATTATCAACCTGGGAGAAATGGTGGCTGGTTGTTAATTCTGTGGAGAAAGTTGAGCTGTGGGCAAGAGAGAGGGCATTCGGGCCAATAGGAACTGCAGGGTCAAAGGTCAAAGGCCACAGGGTCAAACACTAGGAAGTGTTTTGTGGGTGGAGATGCTTGGCTTTTTGCAGGTGTGGCCCTTCACACTTCTGGGCTCACGAGGGTCTCCCTGAGGTGGGGTCTCTATCTAGAGCCTCCATGGGTCCCATCACACTCTGCTAGGGCAAAGAATTGGTGAACAGGATGTCCTTGCTTGACCAGTCTTTTACAGCCTCCACTTCTGGTACCTGACGATCGATGGATTGGGTGATTGACCGATTACTCCTCTTTCAGGTCTTCACTGGGATCTTCACAGCAGAGATGACCTTCAAGATCATCGCCCTTGACCCCTACTATTACTTTCAGCAGGGCTGGAACATCTTCGACAGCATCATCGTCACCCTCAGCCTCATGGAGCTGGGCCTCTCCAGGATGGGCAACCTATCTGTGCTGCGTTCCTTCCGCCTGGTACCTGCCCGCCCCGAGGCTGTGGGGCAGGGAGGGGAACGAGGAGGGGTGTGGGCTGGGCAACACCCCCTCCAAGGTCACCTCCGCTGCTTTGATCGCTTGTGCCTTCACCCAAAAGCCACTTTTTAAAAATTCCAGTTCTGGGACTTGAACTCAGGGCCTGGGCCACTATCCCCTGAGCTACTTTTTTTTTAGTTATTTATTTTTTGCTCAAGGCTAATACTCTACTGCTAATACTGTACCAGGACACCTTATCGCTAACATGCTACCGCTAACACCCTACCGCTAATACTCTACCACTAAAGAACAATGCCTAGGCTTTGAATTCCATCTCTTGGACTGGCATGTAAATAAATAGATAAATGCATAACTGCATACATAATCGCATGCATGCATTGCAAAGATAAATACATAAAATTAATGCATGTATGCATATATAAGATAAATATATAATTGAATACATTAATGCATGCAGCATAAATACATAAAATAAATGCATGCATACATACATACATAACTAAATGCACAGACATGAAACATACACGAATACATAAAATGCACACATATGCATATATTTATAAGCATGTATACATAAATACATGCATGCATACATAAATACATGCATGCACACATAAATGCACACTTAAGTACATACATGAAGTGTAACAGAAATGCATAAAATACATGCATGCAATGTACATAAATACATGCATGCATGCATGCATACATAAATACATGCATGCATACATAAATGCACTTAAATACATGAAATGTAACAGAAATGTGTAAAATGCATGCAATGTATATAAATATATGCATGCGTAAGTACATAAAACGTGCAGCATACATAAATATAAAATATGTAATGAAACGCATAAATGCATGCAGCACACATACCCCAACATGCATAAATACATGTATAAACACATGAATACATAAAACAAATACGCCCATGCAATACACATAAATACATAAAATAAATGCTTACATACACATAAATGCAGATATATACATAAATACATAAATATGTACAATACACATAAATACATACCACAACATGCATACATACATTCGTGCACATGTAAATACATAAATACACACATAAATGCACAGATGTGTATAAATAAAATAAATGCACGCATGCAACACACGTGAGTCCCTGTGTAAATGCATCCAATAAGGGCCCTCGTGCGTCCCCCGGTGGAACCAGCCCCCCACCTTTCCCCCCTCCAGCTGCGGGTCTTCAAGCTGGCCAAGTCCTGGCCCACCCTGAACACACTCATCAAGATCATCGGGAACTCGGTGGGTGCGCTGGGCAACCTGACTCTGGTGCTGGCCATCATCGTGTTCATCTTCGCCGTGGTGGGCATGCAGCTCTTCGGCAAGAACTACTCAGAGCTCAGCCACCGCATCAGTGACCCAGGCTTCCTGCCCCGCTGGCACATGATGGATTTCTTCCATGCCTTCCTCATCATCTTCCGCATCCTGTGTGGAGAGTGGATCGAGACCATGTGGGACTGCATGGAAGTCTCAGGCCAGTCGCTGTGTCTGCTGGTCTTCTTGCTCGTGATGGTGATCGGAAATCTTGTGGTAAGTCACCAGTTTGTCCATCCATCCACCCATCCACCCACCCTTCTATCCACCCACCCACCCACCCATCCATCCACCCTTCTATCCACCCACCCACCCACCCACCCATCCACCCTTCTATCCACCCACCCATCCACCCACCCATCTATCCACCCAACAATCCATCCACCCATCCACCTACCCATCTGTCCACCCATCCATCCATCCACCCATCCACCCACCCTTCTATCCACCCAACAATCCAACCACCCACTCACCCACCCATCCATCTACCCATCCACCCACCCATCTATCCACCCAATAATCCATCCACCCATCCACCCACCCATCTATCCACCCATCCATCCATCTATCCACCCATCCATCCAACCACCCACCCACCTACCCATCCATCATCCATCTATCCACCCATCCATCCAACCACCCACCCACCTACCCATCCATCCATCCATCTATCTACCCATCCATTCATCCACCCATATATACATACATACATCCACCCATACATACATACATTCATTTACTGTGCATGTGGTGCTGGTACTGGGGCTTGAACTCAGGGCCTGGGGATCTGTCCCTGAGCTTTTAATTTTTTGCTCAAGGCTGGTGCTCTACCACTTGAACCACAGCTACACATCTGGCTCTTTTTGCTGGTTCATTGGAGTTGAGAGTCTTGTAAACTCCTACTCCAGACTGACTTTGAACCTCGATCCCCTAGAGCTCAGCCTCTTGAGTAGCTGGGTGACAGGTGCCAGCCACCAGCGCTGGGCCGTTGTCATGGTCTTGGGGGTTGTGAAGCAGAACACGAGGGTCCTATCAGCCACATAGTTTTCAGATCCACTCTTCCAGCTGTGGATGATAAGATTCCAGAACATTCTCTTCCCATCTGTCTCATTCCCTCACAAGGCTAGGCCAGCCACACTGAAGTGGGGATTAGGGAGAAGTGGGGAAACAATCTCCCTCGCTCACCCAATTCCCAACCCAGAGCCCATAGTAAAAACAAAAACAGGATACAGAGCTGGAAAGATGGCTCAGTGGTAGAGTGCTCACCTAGCACACACAAAGCCCTTGCATCTCATACATAGAAAAAGCCAGAAGTGGCTCTGTGGCTCAAATGGTAGAAGAGCTCAGGGACAGCACCCAGGCCCTGAGTTTGAACCCAGGACTGGCAATATTACTACTACTACTACTACTAATAATAATAGTTATGCATAATACCAGTGGCCCCATTTCTTTGGCCCCTCAACTCCTGCACTCTTCAAGCTCCTGGCCCAGCACCCCCGCCTCCTTGTCTAGCTGTAAGAAGAAAATTGGGCCTACCCCTCAGCCCCAGAACCCAGGCTCAGCAAAGCCCCCCCACCTCCCCTCAAGCCCCCCTGGCCTCCCAGCCTCCCCCCCCTCCCGACCTTCCCCCAGCCCTGGCTTTTCCATTTCCCACAAGAGCCTGGAATCCGCCTGGAAGTAGAGATGATTAGAGGCAAGGAAGGAAGAGAGGAAACTAATGCCAGCCCACACACAGCCCCTCCCTCCCAAGCTGCCATAGGAACTGGGCCCTGCTGCTGCGGCTGGGCAGGCCGGCGGCGTGGGCGGCAGGCACTGGATCGGGGAAGAGAGATTCAGGCAGGCAGGGAACCCGATGTGATTGAAAGGGGAAAAGAAATTAAATACACAAAAGAAGAAGAGGGGGGGGGGGGGAGAAAAAATGCTGGAAGCTGTTGAATTCAGAAGGCAGCTGACACAGAGGACCCGTGGGGGTCCTGTGTGGGTGGACAAACTCTCCCGGGGACTACTCTACCCTTGTCCGGATCTCCAAGCACACACACAGAGGTGGGCGTGGGTTGACCGCCCCCCCCCCCCCAATGTAGGAGAAGGATCACTGTTAGGCAGTAGAAGCTGCCCGGGAGGGAGATCCATGCATGGAGGCCAGGGGCCAGGGCAGGCAGGGGTCAGTTCTGATTCATCATCCAATGACATCCACTGACCACAGGATAAACCATTGGGGAGGGTGGGAGGGGGGGTCTGAAGTCCCAGGAACTGCCTGTCATCCCAGCTACTCAGGAAGAGGCTGAGGTCCAGAGGAAAGCCAAGCCCCAGGGCAAGGAAAATCCAAGAGACTCTGATCTGCAGGGAACCACCAGCAAACCGGAAGTGGCGCCATATATATATGGCTCAAAGTGGTAGAGCACCAGCCATGAGCAAAAAAGCAGCTCAGGGGACAGCGCCCAGCTCCCAGAGTTCAAGCCCCAGGACTGACCAAAAAGCAAAAACAGATGAACTTTGTGCTCACTCCACCCCTTTGCTCCATTCTTCCCAAGGCAGCCCGAAGGGAGAGGCCACTGGTTCTAGGATAGGATTCTGCCCAGCCTCCCTGTGTGACCTTGGATGTGACCTTGGTGGCACCTTATCCTCATCTGTTTATTTCTGGGCATTAGGTACATCACGACTCTCCCACTGAACTTTAGCACCCGTGTCTGAAGGTCCCAATTTTGGACTGTCTGAGCCCTTGGGAAAAGGGATTCAATCTGTCTTTCTTCTTCTCCTCCTTCTCCTTCTCTTTTATACACAAACACTAGATTCAAGAGGAGACAGAGGAGTCAGGCTGCGATGCCTCACCTGACACCCTAGCTCCTCAGGAAGAAGCTGAGATCTGACGCCAACAGTTCTAAGCCAACCCAGGCAGGAAAGTCTGCGAGACTCTTATCTCCAATGAACCAGCAAAAAATAAAGCCGGAAGTGGAGGTGTGGCTCAAATGGTAGAGTGTCAGGTCTGAAGCAAAAAAGCCAAGCAAGAGAAGCCAGGAGTCTAGTGGCTCACACCTATAAACTAGGCTGAGATGTAAGAATCGAGGTTCCAAGCCAGCCTAGGCAGAAAAGTCCATGAGGCTCATCTCCAGCGAATCAGCAAAAAGAAAGGGAGGTATAGCTCAAGTGGTAGAGCACCAGTCTTGAGTGGAAAAAAAAAAAACAAGCAAGGATGAAAGACCTTTAATTCAAGCTCCAGTACAAGCACGTGTGCACGCACTCACGCACACACACACACTGCCCGGCATTGATGACTCTCACGCCTATAAACTAGCTAGTCAGGAGGCTGAGATGTAAGGATCGAAGTTTGAAGCCAGCTTAGACAGAAATGTTCCTGAGGCTCTTAACTCCAGTTAACCAGCAAAAAGCTAGAAGTAGAGGCATGGCTCAAATGGTTGAGCACCAGCTTTGAGCAATAAAGCCAAGGGAGAGTAAGAGACGCTGAGATCAAGCCCCAGTAAAACCTGGCTCATTTATTTCTTTTTGACAGTCATGAGCCTTGAACTCAGGGCCTGGGTGCTGTCCCTGAGCTGCTTTTTGCTCAAGGCTCGCACTCTACCACTTGAGCCACAGCGCCACTTCTGCCTTTTTTCTGTGTATGTGGTACTGAGGAATCGAACCCGGGGACTTCATGCATGCTAGGCAAGCACTCTACCACTGAGCCACCTTCCCAGCCCTTCCCGCAGCACCTCCATGAGCCAGACACCGTTGCCTCGTCCCCCCCAGGTGCTGAATCTCTTCCTGGCCTTGCTGCTCAGCTCCTTCAGCGCAGACAACCTCACGGCCCCAGATGAAGACGGGGAGATGAACAACCTGCAGCTGGCCCTGGCCCGCATCCAGCGGGGCCTGCGCTTCGTCAAGAGGACCACCTGGGACTTCTGCTGCGGGCTCCTGCGGAGACCCAAGAAGCCGGTGATCCTCGCCCCCCGCAGCCAGCTGGCCAGCTGCTTGGCCAGCCCCAGCCCGCCGGCGCCCTCCGAGACTGAGAAGCCGCCCCCCCGCCCGCAAGGAAACCCGGTTTGAAGAAGCTGCACGGCCAGGCCAGGGCGGCACCCCTGGGGACTCAGGGCCCGTGTGCGTGCCCATCGCCGTGGCCGAGTCGGACACCGATGATCAGGAAGAGGAAGAGGAGGAGGAAGAGGAGGAGGAGGAGGAGGAAGACAGTCGGGGTACTGAGGACGAATCCAGCAAACAGGTGAGAGCCTCTGCCTCACAGCTCTGCTTGGACAGAGTCTACGGCTCTGGTATCCAGAAGATTCCAGCCTCATTGGAGGGGGGAAGGGGGAGGGGTCCCCCACACTGCCTCAGGATGAGTGGGGGGGGGGGTAAGTAAAATATAGCAAACCTCCTCCCCATAAAAAATGAATCTGAGTCCCGCTGTGGTCCATCGATCCCCTGGCCTGCCCAGTTATGGACAGGGAATGGGACTGAGAGGGAAACTGAGTCTCAGCCAAAGAAAGACTTGCTAGGAGTTCCTTCATGGGTGTTAGGATAAAGCCCACCCTCCTCCTTCACCCTCTGGCCTGCACTGTGACCACTGTCCATCTGCTCAGACCAGCAAGGTGGCATGGCTGAGCCAGGGAGACAGTGGCGTGTGACCCCTTGGCCATACCTTCCTGGCCTTTCCTGCCACCGGCTGAGATTTAAAAATAAGCCAGAGGTGTTGGGGGCGACGCTAATCTTATCACTTAACCTGTTATATTTAACACTTGAGCCGGAAGTCTGGCCAAAGCTGGCGGGGACTATCCGCTCCGTCCCCTCCCTGCCCTGCTTTTCCTCGACCAGAGCCAGGCCCCAGTGGGGTCTTCTTCCATCTTTAGATCCACCAGGTTCTAGGGGGCCTTCTGTAGTTGTTTCTGTCGGAGGTCAGCCCTGGGCAAGCCCTGCCAGGGAGAACAGCACGCTTCGTGGGAGAACTTATTCTGAGACCCCCCCAAACTCAGACGCCACCTCCTCCTGCCTTCTCTGCCAGCTTTTGGACAAATTGTCCTCTTTAGGACAATTATGGGGGTGCTGGCTATGGAGCCCGGGGGAAGGAGACATGGGGGGAGTGTGGATCTCTTCTAATGTTCTAGTTATGTCCAGCAAGCATCAGAGTCGAATTATAGCAATTCTGCCTTTCCCTTCTCCTTGCCTTCCCTTCAGTCTGTTTAACTAAGTTCCTTGGGAGGCCAGCATGTATGTGTGTATGAGAGATAGAGCGCACATGCATGCATACCACAGCCCTGTGCACAAACTAGATTGCTGTGGGGACGCATCAGGCCAGGCATATTTATTTATTGATGTATTGTCTTTTCTTTTCTGGAACTGGGGATCAAACCCAGGACCTGGCACTTGCTAGGCAAGTGCTTTGCCACCGAGCTACCTCCCAGCCCTCATTTTGTTGTTATTGGTGGTGGTCGGTCATGGGCCTTGAACTTGGGTCCTGGGTGCTGTCCCTCAGCTCTTCAGCTCAAGGTGAGCACTCTACCACTTGAGCCACAGCACCACTTCTGGTTTTCTGGTGGTTCGTTGGAGATCAGAGTCTCACGGACTTTCTTGCCCAGGGCTGGCTTGGAACTAAAACCATCCTTGAGATCTCAGCCTCCTGAGGAGCTGGGATGACAGGCGTGAGCTGCCGGTGTCTGGCTCATTTTTTTTTTTCTCCTAAGTGGATTGTTCTAGGGACACTTGTGGGCCAGCACTACTATCCAAAGAGAAAGAACAAAGATGGTGGCAGAACTTTATTTGCCCATGGACCCTCTGCATGCATTTACCCAGGAGCCTATGGGTCACCCATCCAAGAGACCCTCAGGGAAGGGGGAAAGGGGGGAGTCTGTGGTAACATGGAGGCAAACCGGGGCCCTGGAGACTTTGGCTGAATTCTAGCCTCTTCGCCAGGAATCCCAGGCTGTGTCCCACAGCCCGGAGGCCTCTGTGGAGCCCAGGGCTCCCAGCCAGGTGTCGGAAACCATTTCCTCCTCCGAGATGGGGACCAATGGGCCTCAGGCAGACTGGCAACAGCGGTGGAACATGGAGCCCCGGGTCCCGGGTCCCAGTGAGGTAATGTTTGCCCTCATCCTGGAAGTCGTGGAGCGCACACGCAGTGCTTGAACTAAAAGCCAGGCCAGCCATGTTCCCTGCGCATGCCCTGCCCGCGTTCACTGTCTGCATGGGAGATTCACCCACAAAGGGCGTGAACACCTGAGCACCCCAGATCCCCTCACATTGTGGTGTCTGTGTTCCTGTCCCCGTTGCCAAATGTCCATCCCGTCCAGTCCTGTGGCTCCCGAGAACACCGGGGAGATTGGAGAACAAGCTCTGATAGACATGGGTCGCCTGCCTTTGGAGCCATAACAGAGGGCCTACCAAGCCTACCATTGGAATTTGTTCTGGCCACAAAAGAATAAGAAGGAGGAAGAGAAGGAAGAGGAAGAGGAAGAAGAGGTGGTTTACTTTGAGTCAACTATACCACCCTTTCAGACTCTGGGAGCTTTTATATAACAAACTGCTCCTTCTGCCTCCCCCCCCCCAGAAAAGCCAGAAGTTTTCAACAACGAGAACTTGGAAGAGACCCCATCCTGTCCGCCTGAGCGTGGATTGGAGTTTGCAGCCTGGAAACATGGCAGCCTACTGCTCTGGTTCACCTAGACCCAACCTAGAGACGTAGAGGAGGATGGAGAGGTGCCAGTGTCTCTGTCCTGGGCCCTGACCTTGCCCACGCCTCCAATCCCGACTTGTGACGTTCCCACTGTGAAACAGGCCCTCGGGGAAGTTCGTCATAGTGGCCAAGTTTAGCATATGTGGGCCCAGGAAAATCATTCCCCCAAAGCATAGGCCAAGATCCTCTTTCTGGATTGGGGGGGGGGGGGAGAGCTTGAAGCCAGAAGATACAAGCCGGGCACTGGTGGCTCACACCTGTCATCCTGGCTACTCAGGAGGCTGAGATCCGGTGGATCAAGGTTCAAAACCAGCCCCCGCCCCCCCCCCCCCCCCCGGCCCGGGGCAGAAAAGTCTGTGAGACTCTCACCACCAATGAACAACCAAGCCAGAAGTAGTAGGGGTGTGGCTCAAATGATAGAGCACCAGCCCTGAAGAGAAAAAAATGAAGAGACAATATGAAAGGCCCTGAGCTCAAGCTAGTACTGATACACATGCTCACGCATGCGCGCACACGTGCGTGCACACACACACACACACACATACATTAATGAAAGTGTCAATCTGGGCAGCAAATCCCTTCGGGGCCAGAAAGAGAAGGTTCCAGAGCTGTCTCAGTCTCCCCCAAGGTTCTACACACTGCATGCCAGCGAGGTCTGAACTGGACAAGAGTTCAGGGCAAGACCTGCTGGGCTGGGCTTTGTTGTGTCTGACAGTGTCTGTGTGTGTCTGTGTCTTGGTCTGGCTCCATTCCGGATGTGCTTTTGTCCCAGGTGTGTGTGTGTGTGTGTGTGTGTGTGTGTCTGTGTGTGTGTCTGTGTGTCTGTGTGTGTGTCTGTGTGTCTGTGTGTCCTTGTAACCAACTACCTCCCCATTCCTGTCTTGTTCCTAAAGCCCAGAATCATGGCCCTCACAAGTCTGAGGCCCTAGCCTAGGCTCTGCGCTGATTGGCCCTCACAACTCAGCCCCCAGCCTAGGCTCTGCTCTGATTGGCCCTCAGTAGATCAGGCCGCACCCACTCCATCCTATTTCCTTGGGGCCTTCCCTGGGCGTGGAGTGGGGGGTGGGCCTGACCTTCCTTCTCCAGCCTCCAGGTTGAGGCTGGAGGCCAGGTCTCCACCCACAGCCTGTGCCCCCCTCTCCCCTCCCCACAGAACCCCGAGGACAGCTTCTCAGAAGGGAGCACTGCAGACATGACCAACACGGCCGATCTCCTGGAGCAGATACCCGATCTTGGCGAGGATGTCAAGGACCCGGAGGCCTGTTTCACCGAAGGTACGGCCTTCTGCCCACCCAGAGGGGGTCAGCTCCTCCCGCCTGCCTGGAACCAGGGTCACGGCCCCTCAAGACAGCAGCTCCATACTCATACGGTGTAGCTTTGCCCACAGACAGCAGGGACTAAGTGACTCACCCATGCTAGGCCTCTGTGCAAATGCATGAGGCAGATGGGGCTTAGGGCTGTGTTTGGGGTGGGGAGGGGCAACTGGGGACCATCTGCCATTTTTGCCCTCTCCATACCACACACTGCAAAGATGCCAGGCGCCGGGGGCTCACACCAGCCATCCTAGCCATCCCAGAGGCTGAGATCCGAGGATCAAGGTTCGAAGCCAGCCCAGATGGGAAAGTCTGTGAGACTTGCCGCCCCCCCCCCACCCCGCATAGCTTCTCCACAGAAAAACTACAAGTATCTAGTCCCTGCTGGACGTGGCCACACCTGTCCATCACACACTGGCCCCACCCACCACGGCCACTCTCTCCAACCAGCACAGCTTCTGCGCATCACTCCCTGAGCTGAGACTGAACATCGCCTGTCTCCCCCTTAGGCTGCATCCGGCGCTGTCCCTGCTGCGCAGTGGACGTCACCCAGTCCCCAGGGAAGGTCTGGTGGCGACTTCGGAAGACGTGCTACCGCATCGTGGAGCACAGCTGGTTTGAGACGTTCATCATCTTCATGATCCTGCTCAGCAGTGGAGCCCTGGTACATCTCCTGGGGTTACCCACAGGGCTGGGGGCAGGAGAAGGCTAGAGCAGAGCAGGGCAGGGCAGGGAAGTCCCCAGGTCTGAAATTGGGGCTGAGCTGGGTGCTGGTGGCTCACCCCTGTCACCCTAGCTACTTGGGAGGCTTGAGATCTGAGGACTGAGGTTCGAAGCCAGCCTGGGCAGGAGAGTCTGTGAAACTGGAGTGATCAGGAAGCACTGCAGGAGGAAGAAGATGGGGCTGGGTGGTAAAGGGGGGTTGTAGAGGCCAGGAGGAGCAGAGAGGCCTACCGGAGATGCCCTCGTGTGGTGCCAGTGGCTCACGCCCACCATCCACGCTATTCAGAAGGCCGAGGTGTGGAGAACCACAGTTCAAAGCCAGCCCAAGCAGGAAAGCCAATGAAACGATCTACACTTAACCACTAGAAAACAACAAAAGCTGGGAGTGGCGCTGTGGCTCAAGTGGTAGAACGCTAGCCTTGAGCAAAAAGCTAAGGGACAGCGCGCAGACCCTGAGCTCAAGCTCAGTATTGGCACAAAGAAAGGAAGAGGAAGGAAGGGAGGGAGGAAGGGAGGGAGGGAGGGAAGGAGGGAGGAAGGAAGGAAGGAAGGAAGGAAGGAAGGAAAAAGTTGCTCCGCTTTCTCAGTCACTCCAGTAGAACAAGGGACCCTCCCTGGAGAGGATTCTAGAAGGATCAGGTAGATGAGCAATAGAGAAGGCAGAATAAAGTGGAAAGGTTCCTGGCCTGAGGGAAGCAAGCACACTTATATTGCTTGTAGAACTCCTGAACCCCGGGGCTGGGAAGGTGGCTCAGTGGTAGAGCGCTTGCCTTGCATGCATGAGGCCCTGGGTTCGATTCCTCAGCACCACATAAGCAAAAAGAAAAAAGCTAGAAGTGGCGCTGTGGCTCAAGTGGTAGAGCGCTAGCCTTGAGCTGAAGATCCGAGGCACAGCGCCCAGGCCCAGAGTTCAGGCCCCACGACCAGACCCCCCCCCCAAAAAAAGAACTCCTAAACCCCAAGATGAGCAATAGCAAAAGACCACAGAAGAAGCAGCTCCATGCATCCAGCCGGGCCACCTCCTCCTCAGGACCAAGGGGAGACTCTGAGTGCCATTTCTCAATCTCGGGGCTTCTGGTCCCATTCCATACTTCTCCCCTGCCCTGTTCCATTCATTCATTCATTCATGCATGCATCCATTCATCTATGTATAGGGTTTCCTGTTCAACTGCACACTTCTCCCTTCCTGGTTTCATCCACCTGTTTATCTATCTATCTATCTATCTATCTATCTATCTATCTATCTATCATTGATTTGTCGGTCTGTCTACCTGTCTACCTACTATCTGTGTATCTATCTACCTACCTATCTATCAATCATCTATTTGTCTGTCTACCAGTCTATGTATCTATCTACCTACCTATCTATCTACACACCTATCAATTTATCATCTATCTATCTATGTATCTAGCTACCTACCTATCTACCTACTTATCTTTTTATCTATCTATCTATCTGGTCTCCTGTCCCATTCCTTCTGTTTCATTCGTTCACTTATCCACCCATCATTATTTATTTGTTTTTATTTCGTGTGTCAGTGCCGGGACTTGCACTCAGGGTATCATGCTTCCTTGGGCTTTTTTGCTAAAGGCTGGCTCTTGACCACTTGAATCATAGCTCCACTTCCGGCTTTTCGCTATTTAATCGGGGATCAGCATCATGAGGATTTGTTCCGTCCAGACTGGCTTTCCATCACGATCCTCAAGTCTCAGCTTCTGGAGTCACCAGGATGACAGGGGTGGGGCACGGATGCCTGGTCCTCCTTTTCTTTCGTCTCCTTATGTATTAGTTTATTTATTTATTCATTTATTGTGCTTTTCCATTCCAAGCTGGCACTCTACCACCCAAGCCACTGCCAGTCGACTTCCAGTGTTTTTGTTGGTTCACTAGAGATAGAGCTTCACTGGACTGGCCTTCCCTTGTCTGGCCTCAAATTGTGATCCTCACATCTCAGCCTCCTAAAGTAGCCAGGCCGATGGGCATGAGCCACTAGTGCCGGGCCTCCATCTCTTGTTTCTGAGTGGGCCTGCAGCCACGATTTGTAGCCTGCCTGCTGTTCCCTGGTAGGCAGCCAGGGCCAAATCTCTGTCGGTTCGAATCTGGGGAGACCTTAACAATATGTTATCAAGTTTTGTTTTGAAACAGCCACAAACAGGAACCGCCAGATCCATTTCATCTCAGCTGAGCAAGAGAGGAAAAAAATAAATATAAATCTCAGTCTCCACCACAAGTGAGGAGGAGTTTTTTTGGCAAAGTAAAAGCTAATCAAGATAGACAGCCAAGCACTGTTGTTAAAAGACAATGATATATTGGGAAAAGAAGAGAGGAAAAAAAAAGGAGTTGGAGTAGGTTATTTAAAGTTAGAAGCTCGTTGAACAGAAAGTAAATGATATTGCTTCCAAATTACTGAGAAAGGAAAAAAAAAAAAGAAAACAGAGATTTTTTAAATAGAGAAGAGCCAGGTACTGATAGTTCAAACCTGTCATTCTAGCAATTCAGGAGGCTGAGCTCTGAGGATTGTGGTTCAAAGCCATCCCAGGCCAAAAATTCCTTATAAAAGTCTTATCTCCAATTATCCACTCAGATACCTGAAATGGAGCTGTGGCTCAGAGTGGCCGAATGCTAGCCTTGAACAAAAGAAGCTCAGGGCACCTAAGGCCCCGAGTTCAAGCCCCACAACTGACAAAAAAAAAAAAAGCCAAGCAAGAGCTTGAGGCCCGAGTTCAAGCCCCAATACCTGCACTACACACACACACACACACACACACACACACACACACACACACACACACACACACACACACACACACACACACACTCTGGGAATGTCTGTGTAAAGCTCTGATAGATAAAGAAATGCAACTTTTTTTTAAACTAAATGAGAAACTCTCCAATTAACTTGTATCATTTTGATCCATTAGCAGTTAAGCACCTGAAACATTTTCATTCCAGTTAGGACTAAGAAACAGGCAGACATTTAACTACTCACTAGCTATTGCTCATTAGCAGTAATCTCTAAGTACTGGGCAAGGCAATTAATCACAGTAATTCAACACATGGGCCCATGGAAGAATTAAAGCCGTGCAATCGGTTGAGTAGAAAAGCAAGGATTCAAAAAGTAATAGAAATGAGTCGGGCACCGGTGGCTCACGCCTGTCTTCCTAACACTCTGGAGGCTGAGATCTGAGGATCGCAGTTCAAAGCCAGCCCGGGCAGGAAAGGCCGTGAGACTCTGATCTCCAATAAACCACTTAGAAAACCGGAAGTGGTGCTGTGGCTCAAGTGGTAGAGCACCAGCCTTGAGCTGAAGAGCTGAGGAACAGCACCCAGGCCCAGAGTTCAAGCCCCACGACTGACAAAGAAAAAGAACATAAATGTGGCACTAGGGTTTGAACTTAGAACTTTGGGCTTATGAGCCAGGCACTCTACCACTTTGTTTTGTTTGAATATTACCACATCCAATCCAAAAAAGGAAGGAATGGAAGGAGGGACCGAGGGAGAGAAGAATGCTCTACCACTTGTGCCATGCCCTTAATGCTTTTTCTTTTTCTTTTTTTTTGGCAGACCTGGGGCTTGAACTCTAAGCCTGGGCTCAAGGCTGGTGCGCTACCACTTGCACCACAGCATCACTTCCAGTTTTTGAGTAGTTCATTGGAGATAAGAGTCTCATGGGGACTTTTTTTTTCCGCCAGTCGTGGGGCCTGAACTCTGGGCCTGGGCGCTGTCCCTCAGCTCTTCAGCTCAAGGCTAGCACTCTACCACTTGAGCCACAGTGCCACTTCTGGCTTTTTTCTGCTTATGTGTGCTGAGGAGTCAAACCCAGGTCTCATGCATGCAAGGCAAGCGCTCTACCCCTGAGCCACCTTCCTAGCCCTCATGGAGGACTTTTCTGCCCTGCTGGCTTTGAACCATGATCCTCAGATCTCAGCCTCCTGAGTAGCTAGGCTGACAGGTGTGAGCCACCAGCGCCTGGCTCTTTTGGTTCTTTCTTGAATAGGTTCTTGCTTTTCTTTGCTGAAGGATGCCTAAACTATGGTTACCTGTTTATGCTTCTCACATCACATTCAGCTTTTTATTGGCTGAAATGGAAAGTCCTGAACTTTCTCCCCAGGTTGGCCTCAGCAAATGGTCCTCCTGCCCTCAGCCTCCTGAGTCGCTAGGGTTACACTTGGGAGCCAGCAGGTGCTGCTGCTGAGTTTGAAAACCTATTTACAGCCTTCACCTGTGCTGTCAGGAAGACCAGCGGCTTAGGCTGACACTCAGAAGCATTTTAGTTCAACCAGGAACATTTCTCAAATACGATTTGCCTGCCGGGTACTGCTCACAAATAAATAAATGATCTAAGAAGAAATGTGACGTATTAGAAGAAGAGTAAAACTTTGCTAAGGAGTTCAAACAAAAGAAAAACAGGTAGAGGATGTACCAACAGGGGTTCTGTTTCTAGGGTAACTGAGGATGAAATACAATCTGAACACACTTTGATCATATTCTTTTGTTTTTTGGGGTTTTTTTTTGGGGGGGGGGTCTGGTTGTGGGGCCTGAACTCTGGACCTGGGCACTGTCCCTCAGCTCTTCAGCTCAAGGCTAGCGCTCTACCACTTGAGCCACAGCACCACTTCTGGCTTTTTTCTATTTTGCTTATGTGGTGCTGGGGAATCGAACCCAGGGCCTCAGGCATGCAAGGCAAGCGCTCTACCACTGAGCCACCTTCCCAGCCCAACTTTGATCATATTCTATATGAACCCACACCAGGCCACTTAAGCCACAGCTCTACTTCTGGCTTTTTTGTTGTTGTTGTTTTTGCTTCTTTAACTGGAGATATAAGTCTCACTGTTCTGTTCAGGCTGGCTTTGAACCGTGATCCTCACATCTCAGCCTTCTGAGTAGCTAAGAGGATTAAAGGCTTGTGAGCCAACTAGCACCTGGCATTTTTTTGAGTGAACTCCACTAAAATACTCTGTGTCTTGAGAATCTCTCTCTCTCTCTCACACACACACACACACACACACACACACACACACACACACACACACGGGGAAATTCACGAGATACTAAGTCAGAAACAGTATCAGAGCCACACAGAGAGGAGAGGGAGGCTCTGGGTTCAATTCCCAACATGGCACAAAACAACAAGCGAATAGACCTGAAGCCCATCCAAGCCAACAGAGCAGTGTAGCGTATGATCAAACAGACCTGGGCTTGACCCACGGTCACATGCTTGTTAAGCAGCCGTGTTAATGCTGAGCCACACCCCCAGCCCTGTTTGGGGTTGACTTGTTTCCTTGCCAGCTGACGTTCTCTGTGTGTGCACTGCTTACTGGGGCTTGAACTCAGGGCCTCCTGCTCTTGCTGAACTCTATCCCTTGAGCCACACCACCCCTCCTGGTGTTTGGCTGGTCATTCGGAGATGAGCATCTCACAGATTTGTCTGCCTGGACTGAACCACGATCCTCCGGATCTCAGACTCCTGAGTGGCTTAGGGTAAACCAGCGTGAGCTGCCAGCTCACCAGCACCAGGCTTCTAGAAACACGCAGCGCTCCAAGGCCACCTTGGGGAGTTGAGTAATAACGTGCGCGTTGTCCACATGGCCCGGTGGCCCTGCGGGTCCCAGACACAGCATCCCAACAGGTCCCCAGAGCCCGCTGCTGGCAGCAGCCCCCAGAGCCCTTGCTGACGTGCTCTGTTGCCTGGACAGGGAGCCCGGGAACGGAGAGGTAGATGCAGGAGAGGAAGAAGAGGAAGGCCAAGACCCTGGGGAGCTGCGCTGCCGGCCCAGGAATGCTTGTGGCAGGAAGCAGGGAGAAGAAGGTGTGGCAGGAGGAAGTGGGGAAAGATGTGGCGGGAAGGAGGAAGTGGGGGAAGGCCTGGCAGGAAGGAGGAAGTGGGGGAAACCTACAGCATCCAGTGCTTTGGAAACTGTTGTCTGTGGAGCTGGGGATGGGACCCAGCGACTCCAGGGAATGGGGCAAAATCTCCTTGGCCCAGCTCCATCTTTGACTCCCAAGAATCCGTGGAGATTTGATTTCATCCAGCTCTGAGCTTCCTAAGTTCCACATTTTACCATCCTTCATTTAAAGCTCTGGTGTAAGCCAGCTCCCAGGGGTTTGGTGTGTTTCTTTAAATATGTTGATTGAATAGGAAAACATGGATGTATGGATGTATGTATTTATTCATCTGGTTACCTGTGTGGGCTAATACTAGGACTTGAACTCAGGGCCCTGCATTCTTGCTTAGCGTTTTCGCTCAAGGCTTTGCTCTACTACTTGAGCCACATCTCCACTTCCAGCTTCTCTAGTAGTTAAGTAGAGATAAGAGTCTCACTGACTTTCCTGTTCAGGCTGGCTTTGAACCTTGATCCTCTGATCTCAGCCTCCTGAGTAGCTAGGGTAACAGGTATGAGGCACCAGCTCCCAACTCTGTTTCCCAAGGAGAATAGAGCCAGGGGCGGGTGGCTCACGCCTGCAATCCTAGCTACTCAGGAGGCTGAGATCTGAGGATCGCAGTTCAAAGCCAGCTTGGGCAGGAGAGTCCATGAGATTCTTATCTCCCATGAACCACCAGAAAACCAGAAGTGGCGCTGTGGCTCAAGTGGTAGAGCGCTGGCTTTGAGCTGAAGAACTGAGGGACAGCGCCCAGGCCCTGAGTTCAAAACCCAGGACCAACATGAAAGAAAGATGGAAAAAAAGGAGAGAGAGAGAAAGAGAGAAAAAGCCAGAAAAGAAGGGAAAGAGAGAAAGAGAAATAGAGAAGGAAAATAGGAAATGGCAAGGAGGTTCCCAAAGGTTCATGATCATGACACTGTCACCTAGAAGTGATTTCACTCCTTAATGGGAGGGGGAGGGGCAGAGCCTTCTCCATGCTCGCTACCCCCCCTTACCCGTGCATGCCCACCCTGCACCCCATCCTGTCCACGGGGGTCTGTGTGCCCCGCTCCCACGGTGCCCGGTGGCCAGTGTCCCCCGTCCGTCCGGCAGGCGTTCGAGGACATCTACCTGGAGGAGCGGAAGACGATCAAGGTGCTGCTGGAGTATGCCGACAAGATGTTCACCTACGTGTTTGTGCTGGAGATGCTGCTCAAGTGGGTGGCCTACGGCTTCAGGAAGTACTTCACCAACGCCTGGTGCTGGCTAGACTTCCTCATCGTGGACGTAAGTGTGCACGCAAGGCTAAGGACAGGCCACCTGGCTGAGCCGCAGGCCTCGCACGATCCCGCGACAGGGGCCTGGTCAGAGAGAAAGAGCTCCCCCCCCACCCCCTCCCCCCCGTGTCAGGGTGCCAGGGGCTCACGCCTGTCATCCCAGCCACTCAGGAGGCTGAGATCTGAGGATCGTGGCTTGAAACCAGCCCAGACAGGAAAGCCTGTCGGACTCTGATCTCCAATGAACCAGCCAAAACACTGCCAGAAGTGGCGCTGTGGCTCAAGTGGTAGAGCACCAACCAGCCTTGAGCCAAAAAGCGAAGGGACAGCACCCAGGCCCTGAGTTTAAGTCTCAGGACCAACAGGAAAGAGAGAAAAGAAGGAAGGAAGGGAGAGAGAAGGAAGGAAGGGAGGGAGGGGAAGGAGGAGGAGGGGAGAAAGGGAGGAAGAGGAAGGAAGGAAGGAAGGAAGGAAGGAAGGAAGGAAGGAAGGAAGGAAGGAAAGAAGGAAGGGAGGGAGGAAGGAAGGAAGGAAAGAAAGAAGGAAGGAAAGAAGGGAAGGAGGGAAAGAAGGGAAGGAGGGAAAGAAGGAAGGAAGAAAGGAAGGAAGGGAGGGAGAGAGGGAGGGAGGGAGGGGAGGCTTTTCTTAAGAGTGTAGTAGAGGTGTGGAGGGCTTTTGCTTTGGACGACACGGTCCTCTGGGCAGGGGAGAAGGGCTCTGGCAGGGAGCCAGGGCGAGATGATGACGTAGCCGGTCAGGAGCGTGGCCGGCAGCAGACCGCGTGAGAAATGTTTAGATAGCTGAGGGATTCTAAAGGCAGGGCCAACAGGAAATTCTCGCGCATTAGACACAGCATATCAGAGACAGAAAATGAGAGACGATGTCCAGTCTTTAGCCCGGGACAGCTGCGAGATTGGGATCCCACTGCTGTGGAAAGGCCAGGGTGGATCGGGTGGTGTGAGCCTTTGCCAGGAACAGAGATTAAAAGGTGGTTGGTTGGTGACAGGGCATTGGGTGCCACAGGCCTGTCCTCCTAGCTGCTCAGGAGGCTGAGATCGGAGAATCGGGGTTCGAAGCCAGCCTGGGCAGGAAAGTCCATGAGACTCTGATCTGTAGTCAGTCACCAGAAAACCAGAAATGGAGCTGTGGTTCAAATGGTAGAGTACTAGCCTTGAACAAAACAGCTCGGGGACAGCGTCCAGGCTCTGAGTTCAAGCCCTAGGACTAGCCAAATAAAAAAAGAGGGAAAGAAAGAAAAGAAAAAAAAGGAGGGAGGGAGGGAGGAAGAAAAAGCAAGCGGAGAACATGGCATCTTTGTGTTCCTACCCTAAAAGTCTCCTTTGGGCTCACTGGGTGTGAATGCCTCGAGTCTTGGATAATTTATCCTCTCCCCATGTAGTTTACCTCTAGCTTCCTCACATGAGAGAAAACATGGCATTTGTCTCTGAGCTTTCCTGACCTCACTTCACGTGATTTGTTCTGGGTCTGTCCATTTCCCTGAAAATGGCATTATTATATTCCTTCTGATGGCTGTGTAATATTCCACTGTGTAGAGGTGCCACTCACCGATTGGGGGGCCATCTGGGCTGCTTCCATAATCTGGCTATGGTGAAGCGCAGCAATGAACATGGTTGTGTAGACGTCTTTATGGTCTCCTGTCTCAGTGTGGGTCGGGAACCCTGCCGTCCCTCTCCACACCTCTTCCCCGCCCCCTTTCCTTTCCTCCCCAGGTGTCCCTGGTCAGCCTGGTGGCCAACACGCTGGGCTTTGCCGAGATGGGCCCCATCAAGTCGCTGAGGACGCTGCGTGCGCTGCGACCCCTCAGGGCCTTGTCACGGTTTGAGGGGATGAGGGTAAGTGGGGGGAGCCACCGCTGCCTCCCACCCAGGTTCACTCGGGGGGGGGGGGCCGAGACAGGAGCGAGCGTGGCCGGGGAGTATGGGAAGTGGCTGAGCTCCTGTTACCCCAGCTACAAGGGAAGAGGAGATTGGGGGAGCGGAATTGCCAAGCCGGCCTGGGTAGAGAAATCTGTGAGACTCCCATCTCCAACGAAGAAGCTGGGAGCGGTAGGGAACGCCTTCCATCCCAGCCACAAGCAAAAGCCTAAAATAAAGGATCGGGATTCAGACTCATGCCTGAGCAAGACGTGATACACTTTATCTCAATAAATAAACAGCACCGTGGCCTCGCCACGGCCTGTAATAATTCTAGAGGCCCAGGGGGCAGAGATCTGAGCAATGCCCACTTTAGCAGATGACAAAAAAAAAAAAAACAAAAACCCTCAAAACTCCAGCAAAAATACAAGAAAAAAGGAAACAAAAGTATGTGTTTATGTGGGCGTTTAATTTTTTTTTTTTAAGTCAGGTGCCAGTGGCTCCCACCTGCCATCCTAGCTACTCAGGAGGCTGAGATCTGAGGATCACGATTCAAAGCCAGCCTGGGCAGGAAAGTCTGTGGGACTTTTTAAAAAAATATTTTTTAACTTGTTTTTCTTAAGGTGATGTACAGAGGGGTCACCATGGGACTGTGTATCTTCCCTAAACTACCAGAAAAAAAAAACTGGTGTGGTGCTGTGGCTCAAGTGGTAGAGCGCCAGCCTTGTGCAAAAGAAGCTCAGGGACAGCACCCAGGCCCTGAGTTCAAGCCCCAGGACTGACACAGGAAGGAAGGGAAGGAATCCCAGTTTCTTGCAACCAGACAACACATGCTATTCCATTGCTCATCTGACACCAGAAGGCTCACTGTTTGTCTGATGGCTTGGATCTTGCCTTTATCCATTCCCCCCCGCAACCCTGCACCCCAAGTTCTTGGCAGAAAGCCCACCCACAAGTGACTAATGGGCCTGAGTTAATGTCTCTGTGAGGGCCAGGACATTTGATTGCAGTGGAACACGCGGACATGCTAGATGCCAAGAATGCCTCTGATGTAGCCAGGCCGCGGAGCAGCCAAGGGCAAGCGCCTAGGGTTTCTCTCCACCACCCCCTGCCAGGCAGCCCGGGGCAGGGAGGGGGGGCCTGGAGAGCTGGGTGCCCAGCCTGCTCAGACGTAAGGGAGGGAAGGAGGGAGGGAGGGAAGACTGAGAGATCAGACAGACAGAGATGGTAGAGTTTATATAGATGATAGAGAGAAAGAGAGGAAGATGATGTAGACAGGCAGATGATATATAGACAGCATAGATACATGTTAGAGAGAGATGATGTAAATAGCTGATTCGTGATAGATGATATAGACTGATAGAGATGAGAGGTTAGATGAAGATCGATTAGATAGATGTGAGAGATAAATAATGGTGATTGACAGATATAGACAGACAGATAGATTAAGGTAGATAAGGATAGATAGATTATAGAGGTAGATAATAGATAAATGTTACAAATAGATGATAATATATAAATAGATATAGACAGATGATAGGTAGATAAAGATAGATGGATAGATAGATGTTACATATAGATGATATAGGTTGATGATGATGATGATGATGATAGATAGGTAGGTAGATAGATAGATAGATATAGGCCAACAGGTTGACAGAGATAAGTGATAGGTAGATAAGGATAGATAGATGATAGAGATAGAAGATAAATAGATAAATGTTAGATAATATAGATAGATGATAATAGATATAGTCAGCCAGATAGATATAGACAGAGATAGATGATAGATAAAGATAGATGGATAAATGGATGCATAGCTAATTGATAGATGATGGTGATGATAAAGATAGATGTCACATATAGATGATGATGATAGATAGGAAGGTAGATAGATAGATAGATAGGGAGTAGGTAGGTAGATAGATTGATGTTACGTATAGATTATGATGACGATAGCTAGGAAGGTAGATAGGTAGATAGATAGACAGATAGATAGACAGATAGATGTTATACATAGAATATATAGATGATGATGACAGATAGATAGCTTGATGGATGGTTGGCAGATAGATAGATAGCTTGATGGATAGATAGATAGATAGACAGACAGATAGATAGATAGATGGATGGGTAAATAGGTAGGTAGATAGATAGACAGAGGGACAGACAGACAGATAGGTAGATAGGTAGGTAGGTAGATAGATAGACAGACAGACAGATAGATAGACAGACAGACAGATAGCTGCATAGCTGGAGAGAGAGACAGATAGATAGATAGATAGATAGATAGATAGATAGATAGATAGATAGATAGATAGATAGATAGATAGATAGATAGATAGATAGATAGATAGATAGATAGATAGATGGACGGATAGACGGACGGATAGACGGACGGATAGACGGACGGATAGACGGATAGATAGACAGATAGATAGACAGATAGATAGATGTTATACATAGAATATATAGATGATGATAGATAGCTTGATGGATGGTTGGCAGATAGATAGATAGCTTGATGGATGGATAGATAGATAGATAGATAGATGGAGTGGCAGGCAGGCAATTCTGGCCGCACACACAGAGGTACCCCATGTCCCCCCGTAGGTGGTGGTCAACGCGCTGGTGGGCGCCATCCCCTCCATCATGAACGTCCTGCTCGTCTGCCTCATCTTCTGGCTCATCTTCAGCATCATGGGCGTGAACCTGTTTGCGGGCAAGTTCGGGCGCTGCATCAACCAGACGGAGGGCGACCTGCCACTCAACCACACGATCGTGAACAACAAGAGCGACTGCGAGGCCTTCAATGTCACCGGCGAGCTGTACTGGACCAAGGTCAAGGTCAACTTCGACAATGTGGGCGCCGGCTACCTGGCCCTGCTACAAGTGGTAAGTTCCAGAAAGGGGGACAAGAAGGGGGACCAACGGGGCCATCTCAAACCCCACACAGGAATGGAGGAACAGGCCGGCGCCGGTGGCTCACGCCTGTCATCCCAGCTACTCAAGAGGCTGAGATCTGCAGGATCACAGTTCAAAGCCAGCCCAGGGCAGGAAAGTCCGTGAGACTCTTATCTCCAATGAACCACCAGAAAACTGGAAGTGGCGCTGTGGTTCAAGTGGTAGAGTGCTTGCCTCGAGCAAAAGCAGCTCAGGAACAGCGCCCAAGCTCTGAGTTCAAGCCCCATGACCAACAAAAACAAAAACAAAATTGAAATGCCAAGCCAAGCTGGGTGCGGTGTCTCCTGCCCGTGTCATCCTAGCTCCTGAGGAGGCTGAGATCTGAGGATCACAGTTTGAAGCCAACTCTGCCAGGAAAGTGCATGAGATTCTTCCCTTCTACGAACTAGCAAAAAGCTGGCAGTGAAGACGTGGCTCAGATGGTAGAGGACCTCCTTGGGAACACAAAAGCTTAGAGACAGCACCCCTGGAAATGAGTTCAAGCCCCAGTACTGGTACAAAAATAAATAAGTAAATAAAAGCTTGCTACTCACTCACTACAGGGTTTTCTAGAAGGGTCTTTAGCTCAGTTGCTCCCTCCCCTTCCCTCATTCCTAACCCCAGATTTGCCCAGTTAGACAGGGGCTTCGTGTAGCTCTAGTGAGACAGTTGGTTTAATCATTTCTCTTGTATCTTCTTTCCCTTCCAGGCAACTTTTAAAGGCTGGATGGACATCATGTACGCAGCGGTGGACTCCCGAGGGGTAGGAGACCATTCCTGTTTCTTCTTGTTCATGCCAGCACCGAAGACTTGAACTCAGGACTGGGCTTTGTTCCCTGAGTATTTTTTTTTTTCATATCTTGCTCAAGGCTGGTGCTCTACCACTTGAGCCACCTGCTCTGCTTCTGACTTTTTACTGGTTCATTAGAGATTTCAAAGTCTCACAGACTTTCCTGCCCCGGGCTGGCTTTGAACCACAATCCTCCAGATCTCAGCCTCCTGAGTCGCTAGGATGACAGGCGTGAGACACAGGGGTCTTCTATTTCTTCACTGAATTCACTCCAGGAGAAATGGGGTGAAAGCAAGAGAGATGCAAATTGACTTCCCCCCTCCATTTGACCAACCCCATGATGCCAAGACCCAGGCTCCCAGGCCTGAATCCTGAATCCCATGCTAAATCCAGCAGGCCTTCTGCCCTCCCTTCCCTCTGTCCTCTCCCCCCCCGCCCACCTCCGTCCTGTCCCCCACCCCCAGTCCCCTTGACCTGTCCACCTCTCACACAGTGCCCCCGGCTGGCTGACCGTCTCTCTTGGCTTCCGTCCCTTAGTACGAAGAGCAGCCGCAGTGGGAATACAACCTGTACATGTACATCTACTTCGTGGTCTTCATCATCTTCGGCTCTTTCTTCACCCTGAACCTCTTCATTGGTGTCATCATCGACAACTTCAACCAGCAGAAGAAAAAGATACGTAGACTACGTATACATACATATATTCTACATACGCAGAATACGCAAAAGACATCCACTATGTAGATTATGTACGATGCATGGAGTTCACAGAATATGTTCAAGACATAGAAGACATGCAGTATGAATACATACAGTATGAATGCATACAGTATGTAGAACATGTACAATACATAGAATGCATACAACATGTACAATACACAGAATACTTACAATACAGAGAATATATTCAATACATAGACTATGTACAATATATAGACCATATACAATATGTAAAATACATTTAATAAGTAGAATATGCACAATGCATAGAATATATAATAGAATACGTACAATATGTATAATACATACAATATACAGAATGCATTCAGTATGTAGAATACATACAATGCATACGATACATAGAATACATAGCATAATACACTCAGTACGCAGAATATGTACAACAGCACATAGAATGCACAGAACACCAGCTCTACCTGGGTTGGGTTGGGTGGGTGGGGCGAGAAGTAGTAGCCATTCTGGCTCCAGGCTCATGGCCTTTCCTGCCCAGGCTGGCTTTGAACCATGATCCTCAGATCTCAGCCTCCTGAGTTCGGCTGGGATGGCAGGCAGCCTCTGGCATAGGCCATGTTATATTGAACGCAAACCAACAGGGCAGAAAGAGCCACCGGGCCCGGCCCAGCTGGGTAGACAAAGGGGAAGGGTGAGTGGAAACCCTGAAGCCAGCTAGATCTCCAGGGATTTTTGGAAAGGCAGGTTTCGCTGAGAATGTTTGATGCAGTATAAAGCGAGACAAAGCCCATCTTAATACAGAGTCTGCCCTGACCCCCACTATCCCAGAGGTCAGTGAGAACCCTCAAAATGATATCAGTGTTGTCTCTCTGCACTTAGGAGGCCAAGACATCTTCATGACAGAAGAACAGAAGAAATATTACAATGCCATGAAAAAGCTGGGCTCCAAGAAACCCCAAAAGCCCATTCCTCGGCCTCTGGTGAGCCGGGCTCCCTGGAAGAATCGAGAGGGCTGTTCTTTTGGGGTGGGGGAGTTGGAACCTTAAGATTTCTCCCTCCTCCCTAGCCACATAGGCAGCCATCAGGGCCGCCTCATGATCCTTCAGCTTCAGTGAGAGGTTCTCTGGTGTCTGGGCTTCACACCAGGCTTCATCCTGATGATGGGGGGGAGGGGGGAAGAAGGTGCAGATCCACAGAAGATGTATAGCCACAAGACACACCTGGTCCCTTGGGGTGCAGATTTTACCCAGCCCCACACCCATGCTTGTTTCTTTGCTTGTTTCTTGCTAGTACTGGGGCTTGAACTCAAGGCCTACCATGCTAGCCCTTCACTTGTGGTTGGTTGTTTTTCCTAAGTCAATGCTGGCGCTCTACCACTTGAGTCACACCTCCACTTCTGGCTTTTTGCTGGTTCGTTGAAGATAAGAGTCTCTCTCTCTCTCTCTCTCCCTCTCTGGTTTGTCAGTCTGAGCTGGCTTTGAAGTGCAGTCCTCAGATTTGCCTTCTGAGTAGCTAGGATGACAGGCATGACCCACTACCTGGATCAGACCTGGTGGGTGTGTGTGAGACAGAGTCAGAGACAGAGAGAGACAGACAGACACAGAGAGAGAGTGTGTGTGTGTCTGGGGCTTGAACTCAGGGCCTGGGTGCTGCCCCTGGGATTTTGTGCTCAAAGCCAGCACTCAACTACTTGAGCCATAGCTCCGCCTTGGCTTTTTTATAGCCAATTGCATGGATATGAGTCTCACAGACTTTCCTGCCTGGGCTGGCTTGGAACCTTGATCCTCAGATCTCACTCAGATCTCAGCCTCCCGAGTCCCTAGGGTGACAGGCCTGAGCCACCGGCAGCTGCATTTACCGTGAATGACATATCAATACTGTTTGAGTGCTGGTAACTCACTCCTATACTTGTAGTGACACAGGTGGCTGAGATCGAAGGATCGAAGTTTGAAACCAGCCTGGGCCACAGGGTCTGCGAGACTCTGATCTCCAAAGAGCCACCAAAAAGCCAGAAATGAGATGTGGCCCAAGTAGTAGAGCTCCATCCTTAAGCATCCTTAAGAGCTCCCAGGCCATGAGTTCAAGGCCCCAAACCAACACCCCCCCACACACACACATACACCAATTCCACTGAGCAGAATAAATTAAAAACAATTCCATCAAAAGAATAATGGAGCGGCTGGGAAGGTGGCTTAGTGGTAGAGCGCTTGCCTCGCATGCATGAAGCCCTGGGTTCGATTCCTTAGTACCGCAGACACAGAAAAAGCTGGAAGTGGCGCTATGGCTAAAGTGGTAGAGTGCTAGCCTTGAGCAAAAAGCAGCTCAGGGACAGCGCCCAGGCCCTGAGTTCAAGCCCCAGGACTGGCAAAAATAAATAAGAATGGAGAAAACATACCAATCCAAGGGACTGATACCATTGCTAGAATTGACGTTTAACATTGACCTTGAGCCTTCAAGGTCATCCAGGAAATGGCTGGATAATCCATCCACGAGAGAGTATGAAGGGCATCGTCCCATCCATATCTAGGGAAAGAAGAGAGAGAGAGAAAAATCTTCAGAATTCAGGGAGAGCCATGAAAAGGATAGGAACCTCGGAGCTGGATCTCAAAATCCAGGGGAACGTTTAGGACAGGAAAAAAACAGATGTGAATCTAGGGGGAACGCTGAGGCCGGAGGACCAGGTGTGAACCTGGGGGGAACACTAAGGGAGGAGGACCTCTTCAGTGAACGTGAGTCACTTGGGTGCTGGCCTGGTGGCCCAGGGAAGGCCGAGGGGCGATGGCCACCCCAGGAGAGGGTCCCTTGCCTGCCCAGCCCAGGCCCCAGGCCAAGCCCCACATCCTCCTTCCTCCTGGCAGAACAAGTACCAGGGCTTCCTCTTCGACATCGTGACCAAGCAGGCCTTCGATGTCACCATCATGTTCCTCATCTGCCTCAACATGGTGACCATGATGGTGGAGACGGACGACCAGAGCCCCGAGAAGGTCAGCATCCTCGCCAAGATCAACCTGCTCTTCGTGGCCATCTTCACGGGCGAGTGCTTTGTCAAGATGGCCGCCCTGAGACACTACTACTTCACCAACAGTTGGAACATCTTTGACTTCGTGGTGGTCATCCTCTCCATCGTGGGTGAGCGGGTGTGGGCAGAGAGGCCGACCACCGGGCCGGGCCTTCTTCCCACCCTCGGGTCTATGGGGAGGCCCTGGAATGCCCCCTCTCCCTCCCTCCAGCACGCCCCTCCCTCTCCCGCCCTCCCTTCCCCTCCCTCTCTCTCTCTCTTTACTGGGGTTTAAACACAGCTCCCTGGTTGCCCTACCACTCAACCACGCTCCCAGCTGAGCTTTTTGCTGGTTATTTTGGAGATGGATTTAGGGCCTGAACTCTGGGCCTGGGTGCTGTCCCTCAGCTCTTCAGCTCAAGGCTAGCGCTCTACCACTTGAGCCACAGCGCCACTTCTGGCTTTTTTCCTTTCTGCTTATGTGGTGCTGAGGAATCGAACCCAGGGCCTCAGGCATGCAAGGCAAGCGCTCTACCACTGAGCCACCTTCCCAGCCCCATGATCCTTCCTCTTTTTGAAAGAGGGAGACGTGACTGAGGTATCTTCTAGATTTTTTTGTTGTTGTTGTTTTAACATTTCCACAAACTCCCGAATCCACGACTTAGAATAACGAGGAACTAGAAAGCCTTGAGCAAGGCTGATGCGCTGCTAACCAACTACCTTTGGTCTCAGACACCACCCAGCCATACCAGCTGTGTTAGGAATGCCCGTCATCCTAGCTACGCAGGAGGCTGAGGATCTGAGGATCATGGTTCAAAGCCAGCCCGGGGCAGGAAAGGCTGTGAGACTCTCACCTCCCATGAACCACCATGAAAACCCAAAGTGGCGCTGTGGCTCAAGTGGTAGAGCACCAGCCTTGAGCTGAAGAGCTGAGGGACAGCGCCCAGGCCCTGAGTTCGAGTCCCACAACCAATAAAAAAGAAAGGTGTTGAGAGGTAGTGCTAGCACACCCGTCCCTCCCAGAGGTGCTTCATCTCCCTGGATCCTCTCTGGGTGGAGGAGGCCAGTGCTGGCCTGGGAAGCGTAGCGATATTCTTACTGTCCGCCATGCTCTCTACCATTCCCATAGGCACCGTGCTGTCCGACATCATCCAGAAGTATTTCTTCTCCCCCACGCTCTTCCGTGTCATCCGCCTGGCCCGCATCGGCCGCATCCTCCGGCTCATCCGGGGTGCCAAGGGCATCCGCACCCTGCTCTTCGCCCTCATGATGTCCCTCCCGGCCCTCTTCAACATCGGCCTGCTGCTCTTCCTGGTCATGTTCATCTACTCCATCTTTGGCATGGCCAACTTCGCTTACGTCAAGTGGGAGGCGGGCATCGACGACATGTTTAACTTCCAGACGTTCGCCAACAGCATGCTGTGCCTCTTCCAGATCACCACCTCGGCCGGTTGGGACGGCCTCCTCAGTCCCATCCTCAACACCGGGCCTCCCTACTGCGACCCCGATCTGCCCAGTGGCAACGGCTCCCGGGGGAACTGTGGGAGCCCGGCCGTGGGCATCCTGTTCTTCACCACCTACATCATCATCTCCTTCCTCATCGTGGTCAACATGTACATCGCCATCATCCTGGAGAACTTCAGCGTGGCCACGGAGGAGAGCACCGAGCCCCTCAGCGAAGACGACTTCGACATGTTCTACGAGATCTGGGAGAAGTTCGATCCCGAGGCCACGCAGTTCATCGAGTACGCCGCCCTGTCCGACTTCGCCGATGCCCTGTCCGAACCCCTGCGCCTCCCCAAACCCAACCAGATCAGCCTCATCCACATGGACCTGCCCATGGTGAGCGGAGACCGCATCCACTGCATGGATATCCTCTTCGCCTTCACCAAAAGGGTGCTGGGCGAATCCGGGGAAATGGACGCCCTGAAGATCCAGATGGAGGAGAAGTTCATGGCGGCCAACCCATCCAAGATCTCCTACGAGCCCATCACCACCACGCTGCGGCGCAAGCACGAGGAGGTGTCGGCCATGGTCATCCAGCGCGCCTTCCGGAGACACCTGCTCCAGCGCTCCGTGAAGCACGCCTCCTTCCTCTTCCGACGGCAGACCTGCAGCAGCGGCAGCGACGGGGGGCTCTCCCAAGAGGACGCCCCAGAAAGAGAAGGCCTCATCGCCTACATGATGAATCAGAACTCCCGGCCCAGTGGTGGTGGTGGGGGCCCTCCCTCCAGCTCCTCCATCTCCTCCACCTCCTTCCCGCCATCCTACGACAGTGTCACCCGGGCCACCAGCGACAACCTCCAAGCCAGGGTGTCCGACTACAGTCGGAGCGAAGACCTGGCAGATTTCCCCCCGTCCCCAGACAGGGACCGCGAATCTATCGTGTGACCCGGGCCTTGGCATAATGGTGAAAAACGGGAATGAGGTCAAAACCAGCCTCACGTGCTGGGCCTTCCTGGCTTCGGGGAAGGGGGAGCTAGCTGGGGTTCAGGGGGGAGGGAGGAGTGAGAGCTGAGTCCCCAGCGCCCTCCCCCCCAAAATCCACCAGGCACAGATGGAGCTGAAACTGGTGTCCTGCTCCCCGCCCCCCACTCCTCACCCCCAGAATTCACAGGGGGGGGGCCTCTCTCTGGAGAGGGGGAGGGGCACCCCACACATCCTAGGGCCTGGTCTCGTCGTCCGGTAACTTCCTGGGGTGCACGGGATTCGGAAGGTGGGGGGAGGCGATCTAAAGCAGGAAACTCCATCCCAGGTGCCACCGCCCCATTGAACCCTAAAACAGAGACTTTGTCCGTGTGACTGGGCTTTCATATTATATTTGATATTTTTTTACTGGAGCAGAGAAAACAAACTTTTTCTCCTTCTCCCCCCGACCCCCGCCCCCCAGTCCCAGCGATTCACGCTGTTCTCAACCCCAAACTTCTGGAACTCAAAGCACAGCGGGGCCAGGCGCTGGTGGCTCACGCCTGTCATCCTAGCTACTCAAAGAGAGTAAGACCTGAGGATCCTGGTTCAAAGCCAGCCCTGGGTAGGAACATGTCTGTGAGACTCTGTCCAGTGGGTGGCGGAGTGGGGGGGGGGGGACCAGACAGGGAAGCAGGTGGCTTAAGGGGTCAAACACCCAGCTTTGAATGACAAGCAAACACAAGCCCCCCCTCCCCAGAGCTCAAGCCCCAGTCACTGGCACCCAATGAAGACAGTGTGGGGGTCCAGTGGGGCTCCTGAAGCCTTTCATGGAGGGACGGGGCTCCCAGGCGGCAGGAGCTGAGGTGAGGGTGGGAGGGAGCAAAGCCTCTTGCTCACACGTGCACACACACACGCGTGTGCACACACACTGAACACACCAAGGCCAGACACAGGCTCCCCTCAGGCCTATGTTAGCAACCCTCCTCAAAGGGAGACAGGCTTTCCTCATTAGCTTCCAAGGGCAGAATCTCAGCAGGACTTACCTGTAGCCATCTATGGACTTCCCTGGGGTCAGCCCTACACACAGGAAAGGCTTCCAGGGTAAACAGCCCCGGGGCCCCATGGCTGGTGTCAAAGCAGAGGCATGGCCTGAACTTCCCTGGCTCGAGTATTAGCCTGCCATGCCAAGGCTGCAAGACTCTGATCTACTCCCTGGCTGCAGACAGCTTCTCTTCGGCTTCCAGGACCTCACAGGCCTCGCCCATGGGGCCAAGGGAAGACTCGATTTTGCAGCTGGAGAGTGGACAGATTCATGCCTGTCACCCTAGCTACTCAGGAGGCTGAGATCTGAGGATCGCAGTTCGAAGCCAGCCTGGGCAGGAAAGTCCGTGAGACTTTCATCTCCAATGAACCACCAGGAGACCGGAAGTGGCGCCATATATACAGCTCAAAGTGGTAGAGCGCCAGCCTTGAGCAGAAGAGCTCAGGGGCCATGCCCAGGCCCTGAGTTCAAGTCCCAAGACCGACAGAAGAGAAGAGTAGCTTTTCCACACTGTAGGAGTGAGGGGCTCACCTTGAACTCGGCCCAGCTGCGATCGCACATGCCATGGCTCTCCACTGGGTGTTTCCTGCAGAACATGGCAGGGAGGAAGACAGCAGGTAGCTCGCCACTAACCCTGGCAATGGCTGCTTACTTGTTTTCTCCGCACTGAAGAGGACAATATACTGCAAGTGATGGACAGCGTGGGGCTGGTGGCAGACTTTCCCCCGGGGAGGGTGGAATCCAGGGCTGTCCCCGTGGAGTTGTGCTTTTCCTTTTTTTTTTTTTTTTTCAGGGAAAAAAAAAACACCCTTTCACTATTCTGATCTTCCTTCCCACCATCCCTTTCGACTGAGTCCGACTCTCCTCCCCGCCATCACTTTCGACTGCTGACAATCTTGGTTCACATATGCAAACACTGGAGCGATGGATGGACGGACGGGGCTGAGCCTGAGCAGGCGGGAGCTCAGAGACTCTCCACACCCCCACCCTGCATCACCTCACCCCCCCCCCAAGCACCTCAGTCCCTCCCCTACCCACGCCAGGCCTCGGCTGCCCCTAACCTACCTCGCCCCGCTGTCCAAGGGGCTGGACAAGGGCACGTTTGACGTGAGGCCCGGGGCAGGGCCGAGGAGGGGCATGCGGCTGGCAAGTCAAGTATTAATGTCTCTTGTCAACCCCGATCCTCTTCTGGGGAGGCCCCAACGTTCCCACCCTCCATTCCACCCCACCCCCCTGCCTTTCCTTCCTTCCTTTTATTTGTTCCCAACCGTCCAGTGTGACATTCTCTCCAAGTGGAAATCTTATTTTTGTAGATCTGTGCTTTGATTCCCCACCCTCCAAGGCTTGGAGAAGGTGGATCCTGGGTCCCTGGCATCTTCTGGGCCCTTCCCCCATGTAGGGGGGGGGGGTGCTGTGGCAGGTCAGGCCACTGGAAGGGACACAGCAATGAATGTGTGGACAGGCCGGGGGCCAGGGCACGCAGCTGTCCCTGGCTGGCTGTAGATGAATGGCCGAGAGCGGGGACCTGTGCCAGGCCCGGCTCCTTCGCCCCGTGTGACTTTTGATTTATTTTTCTAGAACTTCACCAGGATCCACAGAAGGGGAGAAGAAAACAGAGCGGGGGGGGGGGGGGGGGAAGGGGAGCAGTAGGGGACGGAGCACCCCGGTGCCAGGCATTGCCTGAGCTATGTGTGAACACTTCCCAGCAAGCGTGTGTATGGAATAAAAATACATATTTTTAAAACAAACCAATAAATGGCTTCCATGATGTGGGTTGTGTTTTTTTGTTGTTTTTTGGTGAGTTTGTGTGTGTGTGTCTGTCTGTCTGTCTGTCTGTCTATCTGTCTGTGTGTGTGTGTGTTTGCCTTGAGACTGGGACTCAAAACTTGGTATCTGATGCTTTTGTTGGCTGGCTGGCATGTTACCACCTGAGCCATGCCTCCAGCCCCGTGTTTTGGTTTTGTGCCAGTCCTGGGGCTTGAACTCAAGGCCTAGGCACCGTCCCTGAGCTGCTTTTTGCTCAAAGCCAGCGCTCCACCACTTGAGCCACAGCACCACTTCTGGTTTTCTGGGTGATTCCTTGGAAATAAGAGTCTCCCAGACTTTCCTGCCCAGGGCTGGCTTTGAACTGCAAGCCTCAGATCTCTTCCTCCTGAGTGGCTGTGGTGACAGGCATGAGCCACCAGTGCCCTGGCTTCTCTACTGGTCTTGAAGCCAGGGCTGGGGGTGAGGGGGCCTTCCCAGGGCTTTGGACCGGCCCTGTCTCAGGCGGGCAGGCGGTGTGAGATGAGGCCCAGGAGGAGGCTCTGAGCGAGCAAGTGATCGAGCAGACGCCTGCCCTGCTGTAATACTACAGCTGTCCCCTGCCAGGCGGGTGACTGTGAGTGACGGATGTGGGCTCTTGGGTTACAGATAAGGCATGCAGGCCAGGATCCGAGGCCTTGGCACAGTGAAAGAGAGAGAGGGAGCGGGCTCAGGACAGACGTCAGGTCTCGCCCTGAGCCTGCAGCCTTGGCATGCCCTCCGCGCCCCGCATGCGCGTGACAGCAGCTTCTCCAGCGTCAGCTCTGCCAGCCACGGGACTCGGTGCCCCGGAGGCTGGAGGGGACGAGGCAGGGGAGGGGGGACCCACAGAGGCCTTAAAAGGCAACTTTAACCCAGGGGCCCCTCAACAAAGTCAGCCATGCCCCCTCCCCCGAAAGACAAACGCATTTCCTCGCTACTCCTGGAGGCTGAAATAGGAGGATCGCGGTTCGAAGCCGACCCAGGAAGGGAAATCTGTGAGACTCTCTCCTGCTTCCAATGAGCCACCCGAAAAAAAGAGCCAAGAGGTAGAACTGGGGCTCAAGCTGCTGAGCACCAGCCAGCCTGGAGAGAGACAGCCTGGATGTGGAGACGTGTGTTTAAACATACACGTGTGTGCACCCGTGAACAGGCAAAGGCGTGGCAGCCGCCAGCAGTGTCTGTGTGAGAAAAGTCTCTTCATTATTCTGCTGGGCCAGGCCCCTGCCTGGGGTTAGAGGAGCCTCCATCCTAGTGTGTGTGGAGAGACCAGCGGCTCGGGTCGCTGGGATTACAGGCGTCTGCGACTACACCCAGCCGTCTGAGGAGCTCCAGGACAGAAGAACCAACCACACTCAGGGTCATGCAGCCCTGGAAGGCGTGCATGGGGTCTCTGGTATTGTGTCCCGACCGTTCACACTCCTCAGCCTCCCATGCCAGACAGGAGGCAGTGAGGAAAGCCAGTAAACCGGGGAGAGTGGAAGGAATAATTATGCACACTGATTCTCCCAGGCCCAGCTGCGCATGCATGCTCTCCCTCCCCCCCCCATCCCCCTCCCCCGCCATCTGGATTACAGGTCCTGGAAGATGAGGAAAAGCCACCCGCATGGCCCACGGGCGGGGGAGGTTGGGGGGCTGGGGGGGGCACAGTGGCATCAGAAGCTTCTTGGGCCACATAATAATAATAATAATAAACGTGACATTGAGTTTGTCTCTCGCTTTCCCTCTATCCCAAGTCCCACCCGCTGCTCTGTGTGTGTGTGTGACTTGAACTCAGAGCCTTGAGCCTTCTCCCTTAGCTTTTCCACTCGAGATTGGTGCTCTACCACTTGGGCCACGGCTCCCCATCTGGATTTTGGATGGTTTGTTGGAGATCAGAATCTCACAGACTTTCTTTCCCGGGCTGGCTTTGAACCGCAATCCTCCAGATCTCAGCCTCCCAAGTGGCTGGGATGATAGGCGTGAGCTGCGGGTGCTGGTAGGCCATATTTGCACACACACACACACCATCATCATCATCATCATCATCATCATCATCATCATCATCATCATCTGAAGTGCTTTTTCCAGGTAGAAATGGCCTCAGTCTCCATGTTCTTAAACAGTGCTATGTTTAAAAAAGAAAGACGTTCTGGTTAATTATCTTTGTCTTCAGGTGTTCACACTCAGGGGTCAGGGAACTGTCTGCGGTGGCAAGCACGCACAGAGACCAGAGAGACCAAGAGACCAGGTTCCCACAGCTGGAATGTCCCAAAGAATGCCAAGCCCGAAAGGGGAGATGAGGTCAGGACCAAGAGATAAAGGAACAAAGAGAAGGCAGGAAAAGCCAGTGGAGGGCTGAGGTGGCATGTCTCTTTTGCCTTAGTAGCCTAAGCTTTATTTTTGTGCCAGTATTGGGATTTGAACTCAGGGCCTGGGCCCTGTCCCTGAGCACTTTGTGCTCAAGGCTGGCGCTTCTACCACTTTGAGCCATATGGATGGAACCACTTGTGGTTTTCTGATGGTTCATTGGAAGTGAGAGTCTCCCCGATTTTCCTGCTCTGGGCTGGATTAGAACTGCGATCCTCCGGATCTCAGCCTCCTGAGAAGGTGGGATGACAGGATTGAGCCACTGGGCCCAGCTCCTACACTATACTAACTGTCCACTCCATCACACCCAAGGGAACAAGATAATAAGAACTAGAAGCAGACAGGCACGGGTGGCTCACGCCTGTCATCCCAGCTACTCAGGAGGCTGAGATCTGGAGGATCGTGGTTCTAAAGTCCATGACACTCTCATCTCCTATGAACCACCAGAAAACCAGAAGTGCCGCCATCTATAGGGCTCAAAGTGGTAGAGTGCCAGCCTTGAGCATCAAGAGCTCAGGGACAGCGCCTAGGCCCTGGGTTCAAGCCCCAGGAGCAGCAAAATAAAAAACAAGAAGACCTGGATGTACAGAGCGTGCACAGCCGCCAGCTTCAGATACAGGCCTGTGTTTGGGGACGAGGGGGGGTGGGGGGAGGTGTCATCCACCCGCTGGCTCGGGTCTGGCAGGAAGATGGGGTGCGGGGGAAGAGAAGCTGACATCTGAACTCAGGACTTAAGTGGGTGCTCACCACGGCTGGATCCTCGCCAAAGAGCCTGTCAGAGGTGGCCGTGGCTCACACCCGCTTATCAGTGCCGGGTGTGGAGAGGGTGTCTTGGACGAGAGATAGGGCCGGGACACGGCTGTCCACAGCCCCCCTCCCCCCTCTCTCCTCCCTCCCCCTTCCTCAGAGGCTTGAGTGGAAAAGCCAAGTAAGATCACAAGGCCCCGAGTTCAAGAACGCACCAGTACCAGCACACACAGGAAAGTGAAGTTTCAAGTCCTTCGTCACTGCTTTCAAGCAAATTACTTGTGTGCGTGTGTGTCTGTGGTGTGTAGTGTGTGTGTGTGTGTGTGTATGGGTCAGTACTGAGGCTTAAACACAAGGCCTGGGCACTGTCCCTGAGCTCTTTTGCTCAAGGCTGGCGCTCTACCACTTGAGCCAGAGCGCCACTTCTGGTTTTCTGTGGTTCATTGGAGATCAGAATCTCACGGACTTTCTTGCTGCCCGGGGCTGGCCTCAAACTGCCATCCTCTAGATCTCAGCCTCCTCCTGAGTCGCTAGGAATCCTTTGAAGCTTTTTCATTCAGACTGGAGCTCTACCAGTTGAGCCATAGCTCCATTTCCAGCTTCGTTGGAGACAGACAATCTCTTGGATTTCTCTCCCTGGCCTGGCTTGGAACCGGGATCCTCAGATCTCAGCCACCCAAGTAGTCAGGAGCCATGGCAGTTAGCAATGAACTACCTCTGAAGGATTCAAAGACAAAAATAAAGCAAGTGAGCGAAAGCACGAGGCTAAATGGCGATCACTTTGTTCTTCTTTCAACTGTGCTGTAGGGTTCAAATCTCAAAATAAAAATTGGAGGGTTGGGTGCTGGTGGCTCTTGCCTGTCATCCCGAGATCTAAGGATGGCCGATCAAAGCCAGCCCAGGGCAGGAAAGTCTGTGAGACTCTTATTTCCAAGGAACCACCAGAAACCTGGAAGTGGTGCTATGGCTCCAGTGATAGAGCTAGCCTTGAGCAAAAGCACCCAGGCCCTGAGTTCAAGTCTCACCAGACCCCTCTCCCCACAACGAAAGAAAAACCTGGGGGAATTGCAGCTACAAGCTGTGAGGGTCTGAGGATCACCACATTCTTATTAAAGAAAAACTAAGTCACCCCTGATGCCTGTGATTAGATAGTTCACAGCGCCCCCCAGTGGCCGCTCGGGGCTGAACAGCTCCCGGGCGACAAAGGCAAATACAGAGTTTCACAGGGCTGGGAAGGTGGCTCAGTGGTAAAGTGCTTGCTTCGCATGCATGAAGCCCCGAGTTCGATTCCTCAGTACCACAGACACAGAAAAGGCCAGAAGTAGTGCTGTAGCTCAAGTGGTAGAGCGCTCGCCTTGAGCTGAAGAGCTGAGGGACAGCACCCAGGCCCCAAGTTCAAGTCTCAGGACTGGCAAAAAAAAAAGAATCTCAAAGCCAGTCCTGGGGACCCCCATTTCAACATGCAGTTCATCTCCCTCCTGACCCCCATCTGACCATCGGAGGGTTGGTTCGAGACAAGGGAAAAGGAATACTAGCCCGGCACTGGTGGCTCATGGCTGTCATCCCAGTGACTCAGGAGGATCTCAGTTCAAACTCAGCCATAGGCAGAAAAGTCTGTGAGACTCTGATCTACAATCAACCACCAGAAAACCAGAAGTGGTGCCATATATACGGCTCAAAGTGGCAGAGCTCCAGCCTTGAGTAAATGAAGCTCAGGGACAGTGCCCAGGCCCTGAGTTCAAGTCCGATGGAGGAGGAGGAGGAGGAGGAGGAGGAGGAGGAGGAGGAGGAGGGTTGGAAGGCCTGGCCTAGCACCCCACAGGGCATTCTCCTCTCCAGGACTCAGAGATGCGCAGGAGCGTGGGTCAGAAGGCAGAGACTCAAGCTTGCTTTGTTTTTTGTGTTTTGGTAAATTGTTAGTATTTAAATAATAGTACACAAAGGGAATGTGTCCAGACGTATGGACCGTTTTGAATCTCCTCCCATCCATCCTTCACCGCCCCCTTCCCCCCATCCATCCTTCACCGCCCCCTCCCCCCCCCCCCGTCCTCCCCACCACACCCCTGCCCACCCGCTGCATCCTTCCCTTCCTCTTCCTTCAAGCGGCGGGCACCATGGCTTGTGCCTGTCAATCCCAGCTACTCGGGAGGCTGAGATCTGAGGATTGTGGTTCAAAGCCAGCCCGGGCAGGAAAGTCCATGAGACTCTTATCTCCAATAAACCACCAGAAAACCAGAAGGGGCACTGTGGCTCAAGTGGTAGAGCACTTGCCTTGAGCTGAAGAGCTGAGGGACAGCGCCCAGGCCCAGAGTTCAAGCCCCGTGACTGACCAAAAGAAAAAGAGAAAAGAAAATAGCTAAGGGAGAGTGGCCAGACCCTGAGTTCAAGTTCTGGTACTGGGCACACACATCCAAAACTTACAAAAGCAACTCATCTAGGAGGATTTCCCCACCCGGGTGCCTGGCTGCTCCTTAGCCATCAGTTCTTTAAGCTTTTTCATGTAGTGACTCATAAAATAGGCATCGGGTTCGATGCCCGCATCCTTCAGGTTTTCCAGAATCTTCTCCAGCCGGGGCAGTGAGCGGGCGCTGTCCACCTTCCGGGTGCTCAGGTACAGCGTGAAGTCCTGGAAGTCCATGAGTTTGCAGCTGTCCACGGAGCAGAGGTCCTGGATCTCCCGTGTCCGGTCCACACGGGGGAAGAACACCAGGCCCGACAGCGCCTCCAGATCCCGCAGGCTCACCTGGAAGTCCGCCAATGGGGGCTGGAAGCCGATGGCTTCGTTGGGCACCACAAAAGCCCCCAGGGCCAAGGGCTCGGGGGACCCGGGGCTCCTGCGGGCCAGGATCACTTTGTAAAGATGCGAGGGCACGGCCACATTGTCTGAGCCTATCACCTACAACACAAGCAGCACAGGTGAACCACAGATTTCACTGGCGGCTCACACATGTCACCCCAGCTACTCAGAAGGCTGAGATCCGGAGGATCGTGGTTCGAAGCCAGCCTGAGCAGGAAAAGTCCGTGAGCCTCTTGATCTCCATTAACCACCAGGAAACCAGAAGTGGCGCCATAGTTGGCTCAGAGTGGTAGAGCGCCAACCTTGAGCAAAAGAGTTCAGGACAGTGCTCAGGCCCTGAGTTCAAGTCCCATGACTGATAAAAAGAATCCATCCCTCCATCAATAGGCTAATTCCAGCCAAAGGTAAAGAAATAACATTTCTACAAGGTGTTTTAAACACGTATATTACAGTAACAGGGGCTGGGAAGGTGGCTCAGTGGTAGCGCGCTTGCCTAGCATGCACAAAGCCCTGGATTTGATTCCTTAGTACCACACACAAGAAGAAGCCAGAAGTGGTGCTGTGGCTCAAGTGGTAGCATGCTCACCTTGAGCACAGAGAGGCTCAGGGATAAAGCCCAGGCCCTGAGTTCAAGCTCCAGTACCAGCAAGAAGAAAAAAAAAATCATAATATTCCCTGAGCCTTTTTTTTGCTCAAGACTACAAGCTCCTACATCTACTCTACCACTTTAACCACTTTTGGCTTTTTGCTGGCTCACCAGAGAGAAAGAGTCTCACAGACTTGATTTTACTGCCAGAGGCTGGCTTTGAACCATGATCCTCTAGCTCTCAGCCTCCTGAGTGCTCGGATGCCAGACGTGAGCCATGGCAGCTGGCCTGCTTTCTTGTGTGGTCATCTCTGGCAGCTGAAGGCCGGTTTCCAATGGAGAAGCAGCTCTGAGAAAAAGGGGTGAGTCTGATAAGAGCTGTCAGGTGACTCACTTCCGATCAAAATCACTGCTACTTATCTGCCCGCGGGCGGCCGGGTCGCCGGAGTTCTAGGACTGGATCATGCTCTCCCAAATATTCTAACCGACATTTGTGCCTGACTATAAGAAAATCACTCTTGGCCCATTTTCTGTGGTTTATTTTGGGGCTCTCCCCTCCCTGTACCATGTCTGTTTGTCTGTCTGTCTGTTTGGTGCTGGAGGATTAAACTCAGGGCCTCATGCTTCTTCCTTGGCTATTTTTGCTCCAGGCTGGTGCTCTACCACTTCAGCCACACCTCTACTTTCCAGTTTTTGGCTAGGTCTCGCAGATTATCTGCCCTGGCTGGCTTTGAACCAGGGTCCACTCGATCTCAGCCTCCTGAGCAAGCTAGGATGACAGGTGTGAGCCACCGGCATCTGGCTCCACGTCATTTTTTTTTTTTTTTCATTTACCTGTTATCCTTAAGCTTCTGAATAAGGAAAAGCACAACTCACGTGCATCATTCCAGCTACTCAGGAGGCTGAGATCTGGAGGATGGCGGTTCAAAGCAGGAAAGCAGGAAAGTCTGTGAGACTCTGATCTCCAATGGACCGCTAAAAAGCCAGAAGTGGCGCTGTGGCTCAAGTGGTAGTGCCAGCCTTAAGGAAAAAAAAAAAGCTCAGCCCCTAAGCCCAGAGTTCAAGCCCCAGTACCAGTGTATGCGCATGCACGCATGCACATAAACACGCGCGTGCGCATATGCAAAAACTGAACCCAGGATGAAACAAAGTTCATGCAAGTAACAAAGCCCTGAATGTTTCAAGGCCCTACCTGGTAACTCACAGTCTTCTTGCCATCATTTCTAGTCTCAGGTAAGGTCAGAGGTCCAGACACTACCCACACATCCTCGAAGCGCTCTGTCAGTTCCCGGCAATACATTTCTATTCTGAAAAACCAAAGGAATCGGGGCTGGGAAGGTGGCTCAGGGGTAGAGCGCTTGCCTTGCATGCATGAAGCCCTGGGTTCGATTCCTCAGCACCACATAAGCAACAAGAAAAAAGCCGGAAGAGGCGCTGTGGCTCAAGTGGTAGAGAGCTAGCCTTGAGCTGAAGAGCTGAGGGACAGAGCCCAGGCCCAGAGTTCAGGCCCCAGGACCGGACCCCAAAAACAATAATAATAACCACCAAAGGAATCGATAAATAAGAAGCATTACTTTCACAGATAGATAAATAGATAGATAGATAGATAGATAGATAGATAGATAGATAGATAGATAGATAGATAGATAGATAGATAGAAAGATAGATAGATAGGTAGGTAGATAGACAGGCAGACAGACAGACAGATTTCAACAACTTACGTTTAAGCCAGGTGCTGGTGGCTCATGCCTGTCATCCCAGCTTCTCAGGGGGCTGAGATCTGAGGATGGCAGTTCAAAGCCAGCCTGGGCAGGAAAGGCCATGAGACTCTTATCTCCAATGAACCACTAGAAAACCAGAAGTAGTGCCATGGTTCAAAGTGGTACAGTGCCAGCCTTGAGCTGAAGAGCTGAGGAACAGCGCCAAGGCCCTGAGTTCAAGCCCCAGGACAGGCACACACACACACACACACACACACACACAAAACAGTCAAGGCTGGGGGCTGTAATCCAGTGGTTGGCAGACATTTGTCTATGCCTGGATTCAATCCCCAGTGCCACAAAAGAAAAGGGGGGGCGGGGGGAGAGAGAAATGCAGTAATGCACCACCTAGACTTGTTTCAAAGCATTTTCAAGAATTACATGTTATCCAACCAGCTGATGTACACAGGAGTTACGCTAACGTTTTTAGATGGAATGCAATTTGCTTTTTTTTTTCTTTTTTTGGCAGTTGTGGGGCTTGAACTCTGGGCCTGGGCGCTGTCCCTCAGCTCTTCAGCTCAAGGAGAGCGCTCTACCACTTGAGCCACAGCGCCACTTCTGGTTTTCTGGTGATTTACTAGAGATATGAGTCTCGTGGACTTTCCTGCCTGGGCTGGCTTTGAACCACGATCCTCAGATCTCAGCCTCCTGAGTAGCTAGGATTACAGGTGTGAGCCACCAGCGCCTGGCTCACTTTGCATATTTATTTATTTTTGGTGCCCATCCTATGCTTGAACTCAGGGCCTGGGTGCTATCCCTGAGTTTTTCACTCAAGGCTAACATTCTACCTCTTTGAGCCACAGCGCTACTTACGTTTTTTTTGTGGTTAATTGGAGCTAAGATTCTCACATTCTTTCCTGCTCTGGGCTGGCTTCAAACCACGATCCTCTAGATCTCAGCCTCCTGAGTAGCTTGGGTGACAGGAATAAGCCCCCGGCACTCAGCTAAAGAATGTACTTTATAAACTCCCAGACTTACCTATTCCAATACCCAGAATTATTTTCATAATTCTGAGGCACAATATTAGAAAGGTAAAAGGTTTCAGCCATGGCTTTCTGTGAAAAGAAATAAAAGATAATCACTTACACTGAAACACCTTTCTCTTCAAGATATTTCACAAAACAGACACAGAAAACCAGCTCTCAAAAGAGGAAGTTTGGCTCAAGTGGTAGAGTGCCAGTCTTGAACAAAAGAAACTGGGGCAGCATCCAGGCCCCGGAACTGGCAACAAATAAGTAAATGAAATAATAATAATGATAATGATCATAATAAATTAAAATGTTTTAAAAATGTGCTTACACTTGAAAATTTGTTATTTCCAGCTGGAGCCATATGGCCTCTAGACCAGCCACTTCCAAGATAGTCTTCATTGTGGGCGCTAAAGGCCGGAGGAATCCTGGGATCCGGCTGGAATTTGCAATGCTTTCTGTCTGCATCCCCTAAAGAGAAACACACCCAAGGATCACCAATGGACAAATGGCTTGTGGGATCTCCAAGCCGGGTAAGCCGGTGTAGGCGAAGATTACTTTGGGGAAGACTTATGTCTCAAGTTCCTAGAATAGTTCAGACGTAGTCAGGTGCCAATGGTTTACACCTGTCATCCCAGCTACTTAGAGGAGGCTGAGATCTGGAGGACCACGGTTCAAAGCCAGCCTGGGCAGGAAAGTCTGTGAGACTCTTATCTCCAATGAACCACCATGAAGCTGGAAGTGGTACTGTGGCTCAAGTGGTAGAGCGCTTGTCTTGAGCTGAAGAGCTGAGGGACAACACTCAGGCCCTGAGTTCAAGCACCAGTATTAGCACACAAAAGGTAGGTTTTAAGTAAAAGTAATAACAATACAATAGCTAAGATGTTGCTTTTATTTTACACAATAAGCTCCCTTTTCTCCCCTCCCCGCCCTCCCCCCCCAATTCTGAAGCTTAAACTCAAGGCCTGGGTGCTGTCCCCAAGCTTTTATGCTCAAGGCTGGCGCTCTACCACTTGAGCCACACACCAGTTCTGGCTTTTTTTGGGGGGTCCGGTTGTGGGGCCTGAACTCTGGGCCTGGGTGCTGTCCCTCAGCTCTTTAGCTCAAGGCTAGTGCTCTACCACTTGAGCCACAGCGCCACTTCCGGCTTTTTTCTTTTTGCTTATGTGGTGCTGAGGAATCCAACCCAGGGCCTCAAGCATGCAAGGCAAGCGCTCTACCACTGAACCACCTTCCCAGACTCACTTCTGGCTTTTTCTGTGTCTGTGGTACTGAGGAATCAAACCAGGTACTTCGTGCATGCTAGGCAAGCACTCTTACCACTGAGCCACATACTCAGTCCCACAGCTCCACTTCTGATTTCTTGCTGGTAACTGGAATAAGAATCTCAAGATGTCTGCCCTCTGGCTGGCTTTGAACCATAATCCTCACATCTCAGCCTCCTGAGTAGCTAGGATGACAGGCGTGAGCCACTGGCGACCAGCTTAACCTCATATTTTTATTTTAAGCCTTTATGTGTTGTTTTTCACAATTATATTTAAACAAGCATATATGTACTGAAATGATAGGTATTTATAGACATAAAATAAGTTATCCTGGACAGGCAGGGGCTGAATAAGGGAAAGTATCTTTGTTATCTTTTTTATTATTTTTTTTCTTTGGGGGAGGGGGGTGCTGGTACTAAAGCTTAAACTTGGGGCCTTAAACTTTCTCTTTGGCTTTTTCATTCAGGACCACTTGAGCCAGAGCTCCACTTCCGGCTTTTTGTTGGTTAATTAGAAATAAAGAGTTTCATGGACTTCCTGGCCAGGCTTGCTCCCAATCCCACTGAGTAGTTAGGATGACAGGTGTGAGCTACCAGTGCCTGGCTCTAGAACATTCTTTGAACCTGTGATCCTCAGATCTCAGCCTCCCAAGGTAGGATGACAGGTGTGAGCTGCTGGCACTTGGGTACTAAGGTACCTGTAATCTTGTTTTTGGAAATGTGTTCAAGGACCCATCGAGGGACTCGTTTTGTCTGGTCATAGGACAGGGCGTGATTTGTGTAACATCTGGTCTCTGTTCCAGCTAACGGGAATCCAAATTGTTCTAACACAGCTGTTTCTGTAGATCCTAAAAAGGAAATGGAAAAAAAAAGAAGATAACAAATAATTAGTGAGCCCTACTAAAATCAAAACTTTTTTTTTTTTTGGGCCCGGTTGTGGGGCCTGAACTCTGGGCCTGGGCACTGTCCCTCAGCTCTTCAGCTCAAGGCTAACGCTCTACCACTTGAGCCACAGCGCCACTTCAGGCTTTTTTTCTTTTTGCTTATGTGGTGCTGAGGAATCGAACCCAGGGCCTCGAGCATGCAAGGCAAGCGCTCTACCACTGAGCCACCTTCCCAGCCCACTAAAATCAAAACTTTTAAGAGCAGGATGGCAAAGAATTGGCTCAAAAGTATAACCAGGGCTGGGGATGTGGTTTAGTGGTAGAGCGCTTGGCTAGCATGCATGAAGCCCTGGGTTCGATTCCTCAGCACCACAGACAACAGAAAATGCCAGAACAGGGCGCTGTGGCTCAAGTGGTAGAGAGCTAGCCTTGAGCCAAAGAAGCTCAGGGACGGTGCCCAGGCCCTGAGTTCAAGTCCTGGAACTGATACTAAGGGGATAATAATATAATAATAATAGGGCTGGGAAAGTGGCTCAGTGGTAGAGCGCTTGCCTTGCATGCCTGAGGCCCTGGGTTCGATTCCTGAGCACCACATAAGCAAAAAGCCGGAAGTGGCGCTGTGGCTCAAGTGGTAGAGCGCTAGCCTTGAACTGAAGAGCTGAGGGACAGCGCTCAGGCCCAGAGTTCAGGCCCCACGACAGCCAATAACAATGATGATGATGATGATGATGATGGTGGTGGTGGTGGTGGTGGTGGTGGTGGTGGTGGTGGTGGTGGTCTAGGCGCGGGCCGGTGGCTCACGCCTGTCATCCCAGCTCCTCAGGAGGCTGAGATCTGAGGATCGCAGTTCAAAGCCAGCCCGGGCAGGGAAGTCCACGAGACTCTCTTCATCCTCAGTGAACCAGCAAGAAGCGGGAAGTGTGGCTGTGGCTGAAGGGGCAGAGCGCCAGGCTCGAGCGGAAAGCGCTAGAGGCCCCGGCCCTGAATCGGGGCCTCACGACTGACACGCCCTGACACAGGCGCACACACTCACACACAGCGCATGCGCCTACGCCTGCCTCCGCCTCCCCACTGAGGCCCGGCGCGGCCCGGCCCGGGCTGGAGGAGCGCGCCTGGCGGAAGTTGTGTGTCGCCGTCAAGGTTCCGAACCCGCCCCGGAGCCCGGCCACTTCCGGTCCGGGGGAGGAACCGACGCTTCCCGCCAAGACTTACCGCTCGGCTCCCCCGCTGCCGCCGCTGCCGGGGCCCCCGGACGCCGGGAGAGGTGCCAGGCCGTCAGCCCCGCTCCCGCGGCGGCGCCCACGGCAGCCCCGACCACGAAGCCGCGCAGGAATCGCCGGGAGCCTCGGAGGCGGGAAGCGAAGCTCTTGGCGGCCATTTTGCTGGGACTTTAACGGCCGCGCATGCGCACGGCGGACCTGAAGCTGGCGAGCCAACTTCGGGGACTGGGGCGCGCATGCGCCGTCGTAGCCGGCCTGGGACGCGCGTGCGTCGTCGCTTCCCCTGGTACCCAGCCGGCGTGGGACGCGCATGCGCGGTCGGATGGGAGGATGCAGGAGGCGGAGGATGCTGTGCGCAGGATGCAGGGGGCCCCCAGGCAGGGCCAGGCTCTGCCCCGGTGGGGAGCAGGGGCGTCTTGGGGAGTTCGGGACTCCTTTATTCTTGCCAGTCCTAGGGCTTGAACTTGCGCACTTTGGCTCAAGGTTGGCGCTCCACCACTGGAGCCAAGGCGCCACTTCCCGCTTTTCCTGTGTCTGTGGAGCAGACTCGAACCCGGGGCCTCCCGTATGCCAAGCGAGCCCTCCCCCTGGGGCCTGCGCGCGGGCCTGCGCCTGGCGCTCCCAGCCTGCCATCTCCTCGCCCCCAGTCTCCAGCAGCCCCGCATCTGGAGCAGGTTTGAATCTGAGTACCGGGGTTGGAAGCCAGCCCTGGGCAGGACAGTCCGAGTCTCTTGAGTTCCAATGAACCAGCAAAGAAAAACCAGAAGTGGAGCTGTGCCTCAAGGGGTAGAGCACCAGGCATGAGTGACCAAGAAGGTAAGGACGAGTGTCCAGATCCTGAGTCCAAGCCCCAGTACACACACACACGCAAGAAGGAAGGAAAGAAGGGTATGAGGGACAGAGGGAGGGAAGGGAGAAGAAGAGGGTAGAGGGAGAAGAGAAAGGGCCATGGGGGGGAAGGGTAGAGGGAGGGAGAAGGGGAAGGAAGGAAGGAGGGAAGTCCACCCACATCCATGAGACCAGGACAACAAAGTTCTTTTATTATCGTTTTATTTTCATATACAAAAAGATAAAACTTGAAATAGTACTAGACTTCTCCTTCTATTCTGTTGGGGGTGTGGCAGCATCCTGGGGGGGGGACTACATTCACATGGGTTTATTTGAGGAGCCCCCCCATACAGAGTTCAAGCAGCGACACCCCAACTGAGCACATCTACATTTCAAACCGACACTCGTTCTAAGATTACCACAGGAAAAAACAGAAAAACAAAACAATAACAAAAAAGGAGCAAAGATTCACTGCAAATTAATGATCTATGATACAAAGCTTCTTTCTTTTTTTGTCCCCAAATGTCTACTTTGGGCTATTTTTAGACTGTGTGTGTGTCTGAGTGTATGCACACTTCTCAAATCCAGACAGGGTTCACAACAGGCTTAATTCTTTGTATGGATATTTTCTTTAAAAGGAAAAAAAAAAAGAGATAACTTCAGTACAACTTTTGTTAATTCAGTAGTACACGCTATCGTCTGCTTCTACAAAATCTTTTTATTTTATAGCTACAGGGGTTGAAAAAAGGGATGGGTCACATTTACACATCACATGTCCTGGTATACAAAAACAGGACTTCACAAATTTGAGCCAAATTAAAAAAAACATATATATAATATATGCTATATATATTATATATATATATATTAGAAGTCTTTAGTAAAACGGAAGACCTGGAAGACCTTCCCTATTTCTAGAATCTTCCATCATATACCATTCACCTTCCCAGAATTTGCTGTGACTCATCCTTTCCAACCGAGGAATGGAGATACATCCCAAACTCTGAATGAGGATTCATCTACACAAGTTAGGAAAAAAAAACAACAGCAGAACAGGACTCCATTGGCCGCTGTTGGGCCCAAGCATATGCATTCTCCCCACGAGACCAAGACACGCCTTGGAGGTTTTCCTTCTCATTACAAATCAATATACAAAGGTAGAAGGAGCTGGTTAGAAACTGAGTATCTAAGATGGTAAATCAAAAGTTAACACTTTATTTTTCGGCTCAAGGCTGGCGCTCTTACCACTAGATCCGCACCTCCAATTTCTAGCTATTTTTTTAAAATGATTATTGTTGTTTGTTTTCTGCTGGTTCATTGGAGATCAGAGTCTCTCAGAATATACCTTTCCCAGACTGACTTCCAACCTCAGTCCTCAGCTCTGAAGCCTACTGAGCAGCTAGGGTATGAGCCATACACTGGCACCGGTGGCTCCTGCCCATTTGTAGGCCATGCTGTGTGCTTTTTCCCCTCCCTGTATGCCTCTTTATTTGATCCAGAACGCTCTTTCCATTAGAACTGCCCTCAGGTCCCACAGGGTCTTAAGTCCGATGGACAATGTTGTATAGGAACTCCAACTCCAGCTCAAGGGTAAACGTGCGAAAAGATTCACAGGTGAGAAACAAAAACCCGGGCCATACGTTCCCAGATCAAGTCTGATTTGCTCAGCAGATCGCTCTTGGGGAGTTGTAAACCAAAATAGCATTCTGGGAGCTTTTTAATCATTTTTGTCATGTGGAACTGAAATCTGGAAATGGTTCTAACCTGGGGTTGTTTCTCAAGTACCGTACGATTATCTTCTTGGGTTCTTTTTTGTGTTTGGGGGGAATTTTTTTTTTTTTACAGAATTCTAGAAAACTAAAATTAAAAAAAAAAAAAAAGAGGCAAAGCAAGTCATTGGGTGTTTGTCCCGTGGTTCCTTCCTTGGTGGTTGGAGCAGACAGTTTTGACATCCATGACTTGAACACTTGTTCAGATTTTTGTTTCAGTCATGGTTGGTACCATAGGGAGGATTGTGGGGAGTTTCCCCCCTTAGGGGGAAATTATTTGGCTCCACATTAAACTAGTGGCAGTGTTTGGGATGAATATACTTGTGTCCTTTTACTCTCGGATTGGTTTTATTTTTAGTGCTGGTCCCGGGGCTTGAACTCGGGGCCTGGGTGCTGTCCTTGAACTCTTTTCACTCCAGGCTGGCATTTGACCACTTGGAGCCATCTATGGTACCACTTCCAGTTTTCTGGTGGCTCACTGGACATGAGATTCTCATGGATTTCTCCTGCCCGGGACTGGCCTTCAACTGCGATCCTCCAGACCTCAGCCTCCTGAGTAGCTGGGATGACGGGCGTTAAGCCACTGGAACCAAATACCCCAGAAACCAAACACCCCAGCACACCTGGAGGACAGCACACGAGGATGGCCGGGCACGTGGCGTGTGCACACGCAGCTCAATGGCCACATCACACCCTGGTCTTCCCCTGCCATCCATGCCCCAAGACCGAAAGAAAACATAAATTTACAAAATTGTATTTGTGGTGAATTCTGCTGGCTTAATTAAGCTTTCTTTGAACTGGGTTTTCATTCTCTTTTTTTCTTTTTTCTTTTTTCTAAAAAAAGGCTCTTTAAAAAATATATACATATTTATTTCTTTAAGATACATTAAAAAAAAAAATGACAAATAGCCATACTCTCCAAAGGCCTGGTCTCCTAGCGACAGATGCTAGCGCTACATCTTCCCACAATGCACCGAGGTGGATGGTTGAGGTTTTTTAATCCTGCCTTTTTTTTTTTTTTTCTTAAAAGAGGAATGTTCTGCATCTGAGCTTCCAACGAACTTGGATAGAAGACCGCCCAGTTTGGCTGCTACGGCCTATTTGTGTGTGTGTGTGTGTGTGTGTGTGTGTGTGTGTTTGGAATACTGGATGCTGCAGTGGCCACACAGAGCAGCTACAGGAAGCACCAATCAAGATCGCATGTCACACCAATCGCACCACAGCGCCAGGGCCAGCTGTGGGACAAGGCCCCTGGGTATCAACCCTTGAAAGAGCTTTTGCCTGATCGCCAGGACCCAAGTGATGTCTGAGGTATAAGTGGTTCTTTAAAAAAAAAAAAAAAAAAAAAAAATTCTGGATTACAAGAGTGTATCCAGAAATTAAGAACTAGGAAGAAGGAGGAGGAAAAAAGGCCAGGAAATCGGGCTAGAAAGGCAGAAAGAAAGCGAGAGAGAAAAAGAAGCTTACAGCAGTTGCTTTTGACACAAAATAAAGGCACAACAGAATTACATTCTAAGATGAAGAAGTTCTTTTTTGTTCTTTTCCTGTGCTGGGGTACACAGGAATGCCCCCGCTAGCCCACCAACCTGCTCCCAGACCTGCAGAAACTACACTTATCCCAAGCATGAAAAAAGCAGGCGTAAAAACTGTACAGTAACCACAATACACATGAAAACTGGTTTGAAATGACACCTGAGGACCTTACTATTATTTTTTGTAGTTGTTTTGTTTAGTGCTGGTACTGGGGGCTTGAACTCAGGGCCAGGGGTGATTATTATCATTTTTCACTCAAGGTTAGAACTGAACCCCTTAACCCACACACCTCCAGCTTTTCTTTTTGGTGGTTAAAGTGGAGATGAGAGTCTCACAGATTTGTCTGCCCAGGCTGGCTTTGAAAACTACAATCCTTAGCTCTCAGCCTCGTGAGTGCTAGGATTATAGGCGTGAGGCACTGCCAACTAGATCTCTTAGATGGCCCTGTCTATCTTTCCATCCATCCACCCACCCACCCATCCATCCATGAGTCCATCCGCCCATCATTCATCCATCCATGAGTCCATCTACCCATCATCCATCCATCCATCCATCCATCCATGAGTCCATCCACCCATCCATCCATCTATCCATCCATCCACCATCTATCCATCCACCCATCCATCCATCTATCCATCCATCCATCCATCCATCCATCCATCCATCCATCCATCCATCCATCCATCGAGAACCCATAGCTTTCAGTGCTTTCAGGGCCTCAGGGCTAGCCACTATAGATACCAGAATTTAGCTTATTCACTGTTTCTCTGTCCTCGCCAAAAATCCCATCCAGATATCCATCCCCTCTCTACTCAAGAGCTGCACGGCTACGATGCACAGTGTCTTTCACTCCATGGCCAGGATCCTGACTTGGTAGGCAACCCAGAAATCCTTGGGGACACCTGAAAAGACACCAGGCTGGGTTCATTGTGGGCTGACTCAGATGTCTGGCAATGAGCTATCTCCAACAAGGCCCTGACCACAGACAGCATCATGGCTGCTCAGGTAATCTCGTCCCTTTGTCCAGG